CAAGTGGTGGATTATGTGAGGACCAGTGGTGGATTATGTGAGGACAAGTGGTGGATTATGTGAGGACCAGTGGTGGATTATGTGAGGACAAGTGGTGGATTATGTGAGGACCAGTGGTGGATTATGTGTGGACCAGTGGTGGATTATGTGTGGACCAGTGTGGATTATGTGTGGACCAGTGGTGGACCAGTGGTGGATTATGTGTGGACCAGTGATGGATTATGTGTGGACCAGTGTGGATTATGTGTGGACCAGTGGTGGATTATGTGTGGATCAGTGTGGATTATGTGTGGACCGGTGGTGGATTATGTGTGGACCAGTGGTGGATTATGTGTGGACCAGTGGTGGATTATGTGTGGACAAGTGGTGGATTATGTGAGGACCAGTGGTGGATTATGTGAGGACCAGTGGTGGATTATGTGAGGACCAGTGGTGGATTATGTGTGGACCAGTGGTGGATTATGTGAGGACCAGTGGTGGATTATGTGTGGACCAGTGGTGGATTATGTGTGGACCAGTGTGGATTATGTGTGGACCAGTGGTGGATTATGTGTGGACCAGTGGTGGATTATGTGAGGACCAGTGGTGGATTATGTGAGGACCAGTGATGGATTATGTGTGGACCAGTGTGGATTATGTGTGGACCAGTGGTGGATTATGTGTGGATCAGTGTGGATTATGTGTGGACCGGTGGTGGATTATGTGTGGACCAGTGGTGGATTATGTGAGGACAAGTGGTGGATTATGTGAGGACCAGTGGTGGATTATGTGTGGACCAGTGGTGGATTATGTGAGGACCAGTGATGGATTATGTGTGGACCAGTGGTGGATTATGTGTGGACTGGACCAGTGGTGGATTATGTTTTGACCAGTGGTGGATTATGTGTGGACCAGTGGTGGATTATGTGTGGACCAGTGGTGGATTATGTGTGGACCAGTGGTGGATTATGTGAGGACAAGTGGTGGATTATGTGTGGACCAGTGGTGGATTATGTGTGGACCAGTGTGGATTATGTGTGGACCAGTGGTGGATTATGTGAGGACCAGTGGTGGATTATGTGTGGACCAGTGGTGGATTATGTGAGGACCAGTGGGGATTATGTGTGGACCAGTGTGGATTATGTGAGGACCAGTGGGGATTATGTGTGGACCAGTGGTGGATTATGTGTGGACCAGTGGTGGATTATGTGTGGACCAGTGTGGATTATGTGTGGACCAGTGGTGGATTATGTGAGGACCAGTGGGGATTATGTGTGGACCAGTGGTGGATTATGTGTGGACCAGTGATGGATTATGTGTGGACCAGTGTGGATTAAGTCGGGCTGGGATTAGGACTTGATATTGGGGATAGCGTCACGGTAATTTGTTATCATGTTGAACACCTATTGCGTAATGAATAATCCTGTCGTATACTCATGTTTGGTATGCGTGATATTTTCAGCTATCATTAGACTTATTATGTACTATGGAAGGTACCACCCATATCAGCGGATCTTTTTTTTCAACGGTCGGATCTGCGTGATCAGCCCAGCGCAGTAATACATAAAATAAATGTTACCTTTAGTAGAGCTTCGCGCCCACGGCATGCTATGTGCAGTAGACGCAGTAGAGGCTAGCAAACAGACCCGGACAATGTTGTCAAGTGCGGCAGCTAGGGGAGAACATCCGCACTGGGTGCAGGCAAGCGTGTTGAAGCATGTAGACCTATGGGTAGACGCGAGAAAAACTAGCTACATCTTTGATGTTGCAATGTAGGTCTATGGGTAGACGCGAGATAAACTAGCTACATCTCTGATGTTGCAATTTAGGCCTATGGGTAGACGCGAGATAAACTAGCTACATCTCAGATGTTGCAATGTAGGGCGGTCGGCCATTGTAAAACAGGCTGTGTTGTAATGATATGAAATAACCAAAGCGGACACCTTTCAGTGGGTCTTTCAGTGGGTCTTTCATCAGCCGCAACCTCCCTCCATTTAGCAGCTTGCTGATTATTTTTTAAAACCATTTCTGTCGGGTGGGGTGGGGGGGGGGGGGGGAGCAGGGGATTTTAACTGTCACAAAGCAAAGATGAGGACCCCGCGTAAAACTATTGATTAGCACAAGTTTATGTATCGATGGCCTCGGCCGCAAACTGTCTAGCTCGAAAATGTTCGATTAGCAGTGTGTTGCATAAATCAGAAGAAAGTAAGGTAGTGCACATTTGCCAGAAATGTTAAGGCAATATGACGCACGATGATGGAGAAATAACCACGACACATTAGCCTCGATGTGACATAAGCTGACCTACATCACGACACATTAGCCTCGATGTGACATAAGCTGACCTACATCGCGACACATTAGCCTCGATGTGACATGAGCTGACCTACATCACGACTCACTAACCACGTGATCAAATCGCTTGTTGTAGGCGACACAGAAATTCTCCGCGCCCGTTAGTCTGCTCGCTATGGAGCCGTTTGATGAACTGGTACCCATCCCTTAATTTATTCAACTCTTTTCAGTGTGAGGTGGTTGGAATACACATGCACATACACACACTCATGCACACGCATGCAAGCACATGCACATGGACACGTGTATAAGCACACAGACAATACACATACGCACACACACATAGATAATACACCACACACACATAGACAATACACCACACACACACATAGACAATACAGATAAATAAACATTCATTAAATTTATAACTATTCGTACCCCAAATGATCACTTTCTTTAGTTCTGTCTAAGCCTAACGTTAAAACGACAGTTGTCTATGTAAAGTTAATGTTAAAACATTAGATCTATCTATAATTAAGTTAGATCTTACTTTCTCCACAATAGAGTATGGAATAAAACCGAATGAATCTTCTGACAGAAACGTTTGACCTGATTATTTTAATTATTTTAATTAATATTGAATTGTAACAGCACAGACTATGTTTTATGTTTTATGTTTTTTTATTTTTTTTTATTTTAATTATGACTTCCGTACAAGATGTTTTGTTTGTCAGGGAATATTTGATGGTTGTTTGATAGATGCTATTTTTAGCTCCCTATTCAAGATGGGCCCTAACGTGTGACTAAGGTGTGTGTTTGCCGAGCCATGGAGAAAAAAAATATTACCCAATCCGCTTCAAGTTTACATTGACTGCAGGGCTATGCAGCAAACGGCGATATGGTCGACTTTTTTACCTCGGTCACTGACCTGCTACGCCCCATAACTCTCGCAGGGGACATATATATATATATATATATATATATATATATATATATATATATATATATATATATATATATATATATATATATATATATATATATATATATATATATATATATATATATATATATATCAACAAAACTATATGACTCCATCAACCAACAAAAGTATATGGCCCCATCAACCAACAAAAGTATGACCCCATCAACCAAAAAAAACAAAAACAACAACTATATCAACAAAAGTATATGACACCATCAACCAAAACCCCGTAGCTCGCAGGACCCCCCCCCCCCCACACACACACACACAAACATGTTTAGCAGACATCTTGACCAGAGTTTCTTCCAGGCATCTCTTCGAGGGGGGGGGGGGGCGATTCTACCTCCCCCCCCCCGAACGAAATGAAATTTATATAATTTATATAGAAAATATATACATTTAACAGTGTCCGCCTCCCCCTCCCCCAAAGAAAGTCTACCCCCCCCCCCCCCCGAAAATGTAAAGAGCCCCCCCCCCCCCCCGGAGAAAAATGTCTGGAAGAAACACTGATCTTGACGATAAGGTCTACCGAAGAATCAACAATGAATCAACATTTAAGAGATGTCCAAAGAATCAAACTGTTGCTGTTTTGTTTGAGCATATGATATTGTGGTTGGAGGTTTATAATTATGTAATGATACTGCAGAGGTCCTATAATGACATGATTTGGGCCCAATGTGATTTGCCTTAATAATGCTTTTCTATAGGTCTGCAGTCAAAATTAAACCTACTTTAGGCCTAGGAATAAGTGTTTTCCTACATTCATTTTTTTTTTTACTTTACTACTTTGGAATCCAGGCACATTTATATTGGTTAAAATTAAATGTAAAGTTAAGTGTAACATTATACGGTTATAATATATATGCCTCTCTCTGAAAAAGCCAAGCTTTTGTATAGGCCTATATATATATATATATATATATATATATATATATATATATATATATATATATATATATATATATATAGGCCCTATATATATATATATATATATATATATATATATATATATATATATATATATATATATATATATAAACACACACAAAGTTATGCTTTTCCAGCTTGTTGCAAACATTTTAACATTTTCCTTGTTCCTACTGCGAAAGAAAATGATATATGTGAAAGGAAATAGAAATATGTTATATTAATTTTAACAAATCAATTCAATTGCGTATTTAGTGAAATTATTGCACAGCTAGGGCTGGTTTATTTTTTTTTTTTTAGTATAATGCGCTTGATATTGAATCTGGAGTAATCACATAAAACTAAAAGTGTTTATGATTTAGCAGCGTCCAAGCTGCTTAAAAACAGCAGACTAGGTCTTGCAAAAAGGCCCGGATCGAGCACTACTACGAGCCATAGTAAAGCTGCATAGTAACTGCATACGCACACTGTTAAAATCCATCACAGAACGTGTGGCGGTGTGTGTAACCTAGTTTTAGAAGATCGTTGATTGGTCACGAGGCGTACTTAGACATTTTCAGAACTAACGTTTGGTCCAACAATTATCGTTTAATAAATGCACAGATCTCGAAATTATTAACATATTTTCTTTACTACTGTATTAGAAACACAGCTATCATTTATTTTGCAATGTGTTTGAAGATTGCAAATTTTCATTTTAATATTAAAAATATTAGTAGTATTGTAAAATTATTTTTTTTCGCGGATTCATTTCATTTTTATAACCAATGAAAATGCTTACAAGTGGCCGCAAGGTCGGTCTTATGCCAATGAGAACGGCTCTATTCTTCGTGTGCCCATTCACCTTTTTTAGCTGCACCGGATTCCAGCAAAAGCAGTAGCGAATCTTATACGTGAAGAAGTAGAAATGGTGGAAATGTGACTATAAAAGAGGTAGGTTTTAATATACGCAATGGCAGTTACGTAAAATAATGCTGCAATGTTTGATCTTAATGTGTAGATTGTTTTTTATCGTTAGGATCGCGGCTATTGAAAATGTCAATGGTTTTCACTGGATATGAAGTCTAGGCATATCCCATAGGTTATGACGTCTACACGGTTAGTGTAAAATCTATTTTTAGCATCCAGCACACCCTTCACGTTGCTTCACAATGGCGATGTTTATATAGATCTATATTGTGTGCATCAAGAACTGGAAACTACCGTAGTCGTCTATCATGTAGACTTAATACGTTTACTCTTGTTCTCAAGCCAAGATCTTCACTATGACTACTCAATTTGAATTTGATATTTAACAACCGGTAGGCATATACTATAACTATTCTAGATGCAGCATCAGTAGGCCTATTCACCTGCCTATTGCTTGATTCTTGAAGTTGATAAACTACCTACACACACAGTCGCACAGGATTCAGATTTCGGGGTTACAGTCTACTCTACTGTACTAAATCTAGAATCTAGAATCTGGCTAGAATCTAGATCTAATTTGCTTGGTTAACATCACCAACTTCCCTTTTTGGATGATTTTAGGTACAGTTGTCCATAATACTAGACTTGAAAATAAAATAGGTGTGTTTGGTTGTTAGTTGTTAGTTAGCAGTATTGTAATCTCCACTTATTTTATGGTTAGAAATTAGGGCTAGACGTATGGTAGGACCAGGGTTAGGGTTAGTGATATGGTAGCATTGACATTAGCCTGCCATGTGTGTATTATAATTATGTTAACCACCAGTAACCTAACACCCCCTTTTTAAAGAAGATTCCATTATCGGACACCTGTAGTATAAAAATTCTCCCATAAATATATATATATATAATATTATATAAATATACCTAGGCATAAATATACATAAAGGCCTATATATGAGCATACATATAGGCCTATATAAATAAATGTAAATATATATGTGTAGGCCTATAGGCCCTATACATATAGGCCCTATGTATAGGCCTATTTATATATGTAAGCCTACATTTATATATATGTATATACAAACATACAAATAGATATATATATCCCCCCCCCCCCTCATCACACATTGTCACAAAATTACGGACCCCCCTCCCCCCTACGAGTGTGACAGCATTTATGGATGACCCCCCCTATATATATATATATATATATATATATATATATATATATATATATATATATATATATATATATATATATATAGGATATATAGGCCTATATAATATATATTTATATATACTCACACACACATGTATACAGAAGTGTTTATATCCGCCAACTATAGTCATAGAGGAAATGCATAATGTGGTTAGATCCTCAGACATCCGGTTGTTATATTAAGCTTATATTTTAGCTTCTTTTACAGAATGTTTCTATCGCTGCATGAAAGAATTGAATGGTTCAAGTTTGAAAACTGACTTAACTGTATTTTGTTTTTAACAAGTGTAAATTAACACATTTTTTAATCAAGTAAATTTTACTTAAGATAATGGGATAGGTATAGCTTAAAAATATTAATACTTTTTTCCAGAACAAATATTAAAGATTATATTAATAAATATAATTTATATATAATTTATATATAATTTATATATATATATATATATATATATATATATATATATATATATATATATATATATATATATGGTGTTCAGACCATAACCAGTACTTGTGGATGAATTAGAACTATTAGTTCTTCTCATCACTAATCTCCAGCTCTACTGAGTTTTATCTTCGTAACCCAATCCAAATACATGGAAGTGTAAACATTAAATACTGGACTTGATTTAAGGGGGTAGGTGCTGGTTGAAAAAAAACTTTTAATATTCGTTAGAAAACAGTTATTTCTTTACAGCATTTAAATGGTACATCCGCATATGCGTTTCCACTAAAAAAAATGGTGGTAAAATCTTGGTAACTATGACAGTGGCAGCCATCTTGAAAAATTAACCCCTTTTTAGGTTTTCCACCATTCATAAAATATTATAAAATATATTTTAAGCCCAATAAACAATGAATTCATAATCTTCTACTTCTTCCATATTTTGGGGTACTCATCTAAATATTTTAAGTGCATACCTTCAAAGTCCTTTATTATGAATTTTCAAAATGTTGGCTTGATGTTGATGTTACAAATGGTGACCTCATGGGAAATGTTTGGTGGCGCAGCAGAGCAAATGTTATACTAGTTGAGTTTAGGTGTACCACTTATGATTGATTGTTTTGATATCTGATGGAGCAACTTTTTTTATCCCACCAGAGTTGACTATGAAGCGTCGCAGTGAAGGCAGACAGAAGAAAGGACAGAGTGTGAACACACCTGGCTCGGATACAGTACCATCCCCTGCAGGACAGGCACAGAAAAAAAGTCGACGCCGCAACACAAACACCGCTGACCAAAACTGGCCCAGCAGCTCTGGAACTCCAGATGGAAAATTATCATCCGAGGATGGCCAAAGAAATAAAAATAGTTTAGTAGAGCATACGTTTTCTCCCCCTGATTCCAGGCCAGTTAAGGTGGAGGCAGATAATAATGGGGCCAGCCACAGCCCTAATTTACCTGCTGACTTTGATCAAAGAAAAGTTGAGAGTGTTGAGAGCACAGGCACCAGTGGAGGCTCTAGGAGAATGCCCAAGCCAGCAAAAGTTGGCAGCACTCACTCACCACCCACTCCACCACCCACAACACGAGGTGGCAGGTCAGCGCGGCAGCCACGCAAGGACACGGACCCCAGAGTAGACTCTCCATCGTCCAGTCTCTCATCTTCACAGATCAAAGCTGAGTTCAGTTCTCCAGCCACAAAACCCACGTCAGATTCTTTGTTACATTCTGGAACTAGCCGAGCCCAATCATCAGTCAAAGAGGAAGTGTCTCCGCCTGACCCAAACTATTCACAAAATGCGCACTACTACACCCCAGCGCACAGGAGCACACTTGCCCAGTGCTTAGGACCTTCTCCAAAAAGTGAGAACCTGCCAACAGGTAGCACCCAGTTGAAGAGCTCCCCAGCAACCAGTGCCCTGGCCAGCAGTGAGGCCACCAAGGGCCAGACTGTGATGGCCGCTGGCCACTACTTCCACACCCTGTCCTCAGCAGGCAGCACCAACATTGTCACCCTGGCAGATTTTGGGCCCAAGGTTTCTCTTGCAGAACATGACTCGCACAACAATGCTTCTCAAATGATGAAGCAGCCAGGGTACCAGGTCACTGGGCTGCCTTCCTCTGCCTATTCAATCTCTATCCCATCAGCCAGGGTAGGTTTAACATCAGCTGAGTCATCGATGGCAAGCAGCTATTATCCCCCTGCTTCGTTAGGCTTACATATGGGATCAGCAGCCATAACTACAGCTTCAATCTTAAGCCAGCAACTGAGTGGTCCTGCCAAAGGTAATCTTTTATCCAATGCATTTAGCACTAGCAGCTTGCCATACACAAACATCTCGTCCTTTTCCTCGGCGCCACTCCACTCCTCACACCCTGAGCAGGATATTGAGAAAAAATGTATCGCTATTCCGCCCAAGAAAAGAAAAGCAGCAGAGATGGACGACTACCCCCAGTCCCCAGTGGTGGGCTCCGTGCCCATGCATGTGTTGCCTGGTCCTGTCGTCAAGAGGCCGCTACTGGACTTGAAGGAGTGGAAGAACCAGCGTGTCCTGGCCAAGAGGAGCGGAGTGTTTGATGTGGCCATCATCAAGAGGATCCACCCCACCAATCAGGAGCTGGAGGTGCAATTTGACTCGGACCACGCCTGTATGAACTTTCCCAACGTCTTTGATCTCCAGAACTGTATGCTAGTGGGGGACAACTACCCCCAGGTGGCCACGCTGACTGTGGGGAGGGCCGTGTGTGTGCGGGTCAACCAGGACTCCAGTGTGTTCCACGAGGGTGTGATTGTTGAAAGGAAAAACACCAACCCAGCCACATTCAGGGTGAAGCTTAAGATGTTGTATCAGAACCAGGAGGAAATCACATCTTCAAGGGTTAACATTCGCCTTCTTCAGCCACCCTGGTTTGAAGATTTAGAAGATGCATCGGTAGCCCCAGGGGTGGGAGCATCAGCCACCCCAGGGGTGGGGGGTGAGAGTGGTGAAATGTGTTTTTCACCCGTCAGTCACATGCCTGGCTCCTCCCACCAGGGAGCCATGTATCGCCTGGAGCGGCCCGTCTCCTCTAGCGCTGGCTCGTTGGAGCATGTTGACACGTCTGATGATGAGATGCTCAATGACTCCATCAGCTTTGACTCATCTGGCATGAGCACGCCAAGGTCAGGCAGTGCCACCCCTGGCTCTGGGTCAAGGTCACAGAATGGTAGGAAGAATCCACCCAAAAAGCGTGACCCAGACCGTAGTCGCAGTGCCCAATCTACTGAGAGCTCGAGGTCGAGTACCCCCCGGTCACCACTGAATGGGAAGTACAAGAAAGGTGACGTGGTTAGCGCTGCCAATGGCATCAGGAAAAAGTTCAATGGCAAGCAGTGGAGAAGACTTTGTTCAAGAGAAGGGTATGTTTGGGCACTATTTGGTGTTAAAAGTATGTTTGTCTGGGCACTATTTGGTGTTATACGTATGTTTGTCTGGGCACTATTTGGTGCTACAACTATTTTGGCCTGACATATAATGCATGTTTCTCTATTGCATGCCTGTAGACAAGTAACATGAATCTGTCTGTTGTTGTAGATGTACCAAGGAGTCCCAGAGACGAGGCTTTTGTTCCCGTCACCTGTCACTGAAAGGCAAGAGCCTCAGACAGGCTCCAACTTTCCCTGGAGCTCGTCAGAGTGGGATGAAGGATGGTCAGATGGAGTGGCCAGGTGAAGGACATGGAGAATTTGACCGGGAGAGAATGATCAGCAATAGGTAATTATCCTGGTGAATTATTCACCACTTTTTTTATGTGCATTCATTGAATTTTGTGATATTTATACTCTAAGCTGGGTAAGTATTGTTTGTAGTATGTTTAAATAGTTGGTAGATATATATTTGTATTTTGTCTCCAGATAGTCTCTTTTGTCTCCAGATAGTCTCTTTTGTCTCCAGATAGCCTCTTGTATTTTGTCTCCAAATAGCCTCTTGTATTTTGTCTCCAAATAGCCTCTTGTATTTTGTCTCCAGATAGCCTCTTGTATTTTGTCTCCAGATAGCCTCTTGTATTTTGTCTCCAAATAGCCTTTTGTATTTTGTGTTCTGTATTTGATGCTATTGTTCCAGGTTTGATCCTGATGAAACTGAAGCTGCCAACATGCTTGTCTCGCTGGGAAATTCCCGCTCCACAAGTCCGTCTTTCCCCCCCAGTCCAGCGCAGGGTGGACTGGGTCCCATGCAGTCCCCCACAGGCCCATACCGGTCATCGACATCTTTTACCCCCATCTCCCCCCACACCAACCCACAGAATCCAGTCTTTGTGTCCTCACCTGCCAAAAGCTGGAGCTCTAAGTCTGGCAGTTCGTCTTCTGACCATGTGTCTCCCATCACACCAAGGTTTCCTTCAGCACCTGGCTTGTTCCAGCCCCAGGTAAGTCTGGCACTTCTGACCATCACACCAAGGATTCCTTCAGCCCCAGGTAAGTCTGGCACTTCATCTTCTGACCATCACACCTAGGTTTCCTTCAGCCCCAGGTAAGTCTGGCACTTCTGACCATCACACCAAGGATTCCTCCAGCCCCAGGTAAGTCTGGCACTTCTGACCATCACACCAAGGATTCCTTCAGCCCCAGGTAAGTCTGGCACTTCTGACCAGCACACCTAGGTTTCCTTCAGCCCCAGGTAAGTCTGGCACTAAATCTTCTGACCATCACACCAAGGTTTCCTTCAGCCCCAGGTAAGTCTGGCACTTCTGACCATTACACCAAGGATTCCTCCAGCCCCAGGTAAGTCTGGCACTTCTGACCATCACACCAAGGTTTCCTTCAGCCCCAGGTAAGTCTGGCACTTCATCTTCTGACCATCACACCTAGGTTTCCTTCAGCCCCAGGTAAGTCTGGCACTTCTGACCATCACACCAAGGATTCCTCCAGCCCCAGGTAAGTCTGGCACTTCTGACCATCACACCAAGGATTCCTCCAGCCCCAGGTAAGTCTGGCACTTCTGACCATCACACCAAGGATTCCTTCAGCCCCAGGTAAGTCTCCCATGTTTTCCCCATCACACCTGAGGGGGGGGGGGGTCAGGTAATTTGTAACCTCTAACATCTCGCTGAGTAGATCAAGGTTGAGTACAGGACTACTATATGTTTACTGGACCTAATGCTTTGCTTTATTGTTTAAGGTTATTTGTTTTCAGAAGTGAGGAAATACATTTTAAGTTATCAATCCTGAGAAATTTCTAAAAAAATTGAGTTGAAGGGTTACATTTTTAAGTTATCAATCCTTAAACTTTTTAAACAATTGAGTTTTGAGTTGAAGGGTTCCATTTGTTCTAATATGCATCCAATATTTGTACCTTGACAGGCTTTAGACGCCAGGATGTTGTCCAAAAACCGCAGTATATCTCTGTCACTGGTCAAGCAGGACTCAGGACACAGTGAAGATTCAGGTGTGGACGTCCACACGCCAAAATCCGCAGGTCCAGCATCCAAAGTGCCGTCAACTGTTGGTCTGTTTGGTCCTGCTGGGGGGCGGGGGATCTCTGGTGATTCTCAGGTTGGTCTCAGCTGTTGTGCTCGTTAGTGGGTTAGATAATTTTTGTTGTGCTCGTTAGTGGGTTAGATAATTTTTGTTGTGCTCGTTAGTGGGTTAGATAATTTTTGTTGTGCTCGTTAGTGGGTTAGATAATTTTTGTTGTGCTCGTTAGTGGGTTAGATAATTTTTGTTGTGCTCGTTAGTGGGTTAGATAATTTTTGTTGTGCTCGTTAGTATGTTAGATAATTTTTGTTGTGCTCGTTAGTGGGTTAGATAATTTTTGTTGTGCTCGTTAGTGGGTTAGATAATTTTTGTTGTGCTCGTTAGTATGTTAGATAATTTTTGTTGTGCTCATTAGTGGGTTAGATAATTTTTGTTGTGCTCGTTAGTGGGTTAGATAATTTTTGTTGTGCTCGTTAGTATGTTAGATAATTTTTGTTGTGCTCATAGTGGGGTTAGTGGGTTATATAATTTTGTGTGTGCTCATTAGTGTGTTAGATAATTTTTGTTGTGCTCATTAGTGGGTTATATAATTTTGTGTGTGCTCATTAGTGGTTTAGATAATTTTTGTTATCATGTGTAACATATTATAATAAAGTATTTGCTGAGGATTGAATTATAACAGCTCATGCCCCATTGATTTATAGTTTTAAGTGTATTGAGTGATTCTTTAATATAATTAACACTTTTTTTATTAGGACAGCTAGTGGTGTTAAATTTAATATTTCTTCTGTTTATCAGAATAGCTTGTTAACTCTGTAAATGACTTGTTACTACAGGTATTTGTCTTGTTGCTATAGGCTTGTTTAACTCTGTAAATGACTTGTTGCTACAGGTATTTGTGTTGTTGCTATAGGCTTGTTTAACTCTGTATTTGACTTGTTGCAATAGGCATGTTTAACTCTGTATTTGACTTGCTACAGGCTTGTGTAACTCTGTAAATGACTTGTTGCTACAATTATTTGTCTTGTTACTATAGGCTTGTTTAACTCTGTATTTGACTTGTTGCTACAATTATTTGTCTTGTTACTATAGGCTTGTTTAACTCTGTATTTGACTTGTTGCAACAGGCCAGAGAATCAACAGTTGCTAGACAGCTCCAGGTGAACACATTACCTGACCAAGAGCGCCAGAGGTTTGTCTCTGACTCTGGCTTCCCACCTGCGAGTGTAGGCGCTTCAGTCATCAGACCGCGGCAGCTGGACCGGACCTACTCAGCATCATTGGAGCATGAGACCAGGTTTCAGCAACCCAAGGCCTCCCCTGTGGGCAACTTACTTCAGAACCAGACCATTGTAAGAAGAGATGCCATTGATCCATCTCACATCAGGGTGCAGGGATGTGTAGATCACTCACCCTCTGAACAGCTGATCATTCGACAAACTCCAGCCCACTTTGCTAGCCCGCATCACACAACCAGTGCCCTCACACATCACACGAGTGCACACACACATCACACTAGTACACAGCCTAACTCAGAACCCATGCTGAACTCAACCAACTTAACAGTGGGAGCCCAGATTACCCATCATGCACCACAGCCATCTTTTCATGGGATAGAAGCGCTGCCTTCACCCACCCAGCACCTGCCCTTGATGCACTCTACCCCAATGACCAGCCTGACCAGTGCCCTTGAGGCCAGTGGGAAGCACGTGGAAGGGAGTAATGTGTTTGCTGACCGCAGGCGTCTAGAGGATGTTTCTCATGATGGGGAAGGTAAGACTTTTATCAAACTCCAATGGCTGTTGATTTCAATGTATTCATTTTTCCAAACCTTGTCAAGTCCAGTGTTTGAGCTAAAGATTTAACAAGTTTGATATTTTTCCAAACCTTGTCAAGTCCAGTGTTTGAGCTAATGATTTAACAAGTTTGATATTTTTCCAAACCTTGTCAAGTCCAGTGTTTGAGCTAAAGATTGAACAAGTTTGATATTTTTCCAAAGCTTGTCAAGTCCAGTGTTTGAGCTAAAGATTGAACAAGTTTGATATTTTTCCAAACCTTGTCAAGTCCAGTGTTTGAGCTAAAGATTGAACAAGTTTGATATTTTTCCAAACCTTGTCAAGTCCAGTGTTTGAGCTAAAGATTGAACAAGTTTGATATTTTTTCAAACCTTGTCAAGTCCAGTGTTTGAGCTAAAGATTTAACAAGTTTGATATTTTTCCAAACCTTGTCAAGTCCAGTGTTTGAGCTAAAGATTGAACAAGTTTGATATTTTTCCAAACCTTGTCAAGTCCAGTGTTTGAGCTAAAGATTGAACAAGTTTGAAATTTGTTCCTGCTGGCTGAGTTAGTGTCTGTGTAGATTTATACATCATCCACCAGCTTGTTTTTTTACTTTGTCATATACGAAGTAAAGAGAGAAAATATTTTAATTGTGCAAAAAAACAAAAACAATCGAGATTTGTAAAAATCTTGACGTTTTACACCTCCCTAAGTCGGAAAAACATAGTTTTGCAATTTTGTCCATATGTCTGTGTGTCTATTTGTGTCTGTAAACATGATAACTTGAGTACCGTTACAGCTAGGTTGATGAAATTTCCTATTTAAGTATTATATCAAATTTGTAGTTCTGTATCAACTTTTCAGTGATTTCCAGTAACGTGAAGTGGAACTTGCTCTACTTTGAATTTTTCAAAAGCCTATAACTTGAGTACTGTTTCAGATAGATAAACGAAATTTCACATATTAGTAAAAGATCTACTTTTCTGCCTTCTGTCAAATTTTGAGTAATTTCCGTTGACCGTAAGTAGTAGTTTACGGTATTTTTTATTTCACAAAAAAACGCATGTAAATTTATAAAGTACCAATAATATTCTGCGCTCTTATACACAGATTGTTTGGCGTTTACTAGTAGTGCAATTCTTTTTTCTACGAGATTCTATTTTAAAAAAATAAAGTAATTAAAAATGGATTTAAAATGTGATCTATATCCCGAGTTGCCATCCCCTGTAGTGTTAAATAAATATAAGAACATTTGAGAAAGTTTAGGGGAGATCACTCCCGGGTTTTTTTTATCCAAAGCAGCCTACCCTACAGGATGTCTTTTAAAACCAGCCTGTCCTATTGGGTAACTTGCCCCCCCCCCCCCCCCCCCCCTCCATTCCTGATGGGTTACCCTTCTAAATAAAATTATCAAATTCTTCAGCTTAACTTATAAAGATTAAAAGTGTTGGTCTCTCCAGAAATCATCTCAGCATATTTTTACTATCATAGCTAAAGAACGTGCTTTTTCTTATTTGTAGTGCCTTGAAAAATTGTTATTATATAGCTTTACATAATTAATTTTTTTAACCGAAAGAAGTTAAGATCCGCTAACACATCCACATAAAGATGACGGCACACTTTCCCGTTGGTTATTTACATTGCAACCCTTTGTGAAGCAACCACCTCAGTCTGAGAAATGTGAAGTGGTGTGTCCCTCTCTACAGCTGCGAGGCGATGTGCTTGCTTCACTTATGAAGACTTTTCAAAATACACTGTAATTTGGATTGTCCCTAATTATTGGTGTGCCTAGTTTTAAAATACATGATTTATTGTGTCGACTTGCAAGTCCAGCTACTTTTTGCTTTAGCTTATTATGGTTAACGTTTTTGAGGACTGAAACTAAAGAAGACGCACTTAATAAAATGAACATTGAAAATAAACCAGTCTAGATCCAACTAATCATACCACTAGAGCTAGGTCAGCTGACTTCTTTAGTCAGGCATATGAGGTTTTGTTGTGTTCATTGAATGCTTAGTTGATTTAGAAGGTGGAGAACTAAAATGTGTAGGCGTTACACTGCTCTGCCAGTAGGTTTCCATTTTCCTTTATGTTTGACAAGTCGTAGCCGAATTGCAACAGTGTAGGGCCTATAACGCTAGAGCTCTTTTACTCTTGGGGTGGTTAAAATAAGTGTAAAAAGAGTACGGGCGCATTCACAAGTTGTTCAATGATCCCATCTTGCCAGTAGATACAGATAGATCTAGGACGGAGATACAACTAGAAAAGAGCAGTCGAACTATTCTAACAACATACACTGACCTTTTCCGGTATAAACTCCAGGAAAAAAGTGTTTTTAAAGTTAATTATCTGACTCTCTTTACAAAGCCAAACGAAGTTTACTTGCATCGAAATTCTTAAGGCAATGATTTCTATATGGACTCTTCCCAAAATAGTTGTGTTGGGTTCCTTTTTTGTACTAGATCTAGATCCAGATCTATTAACCAAATCGGCACACAAAAAATGCACCATTTTGTTTAAGTTTATGAGTGATAGTTTAGGAGGAGTGGGTGGAGGTTGTGCAAAGTGAAAATCAGTGGAAATCTTTTAAATTTAGCCGAAACAGTATACGGCATACGGTAAATGGTTCAAGGTGCTCGGTAAAAATAGATCTAGCTCCTCGTGAGAAAGATCCTTATGTACTCCTTTAGACCTTATTGATGAGTAATTTTACCACCTACGTCAATGTGCCTCAGTGTAACCACCACGCACTACACGCATGTGTATTTTTCCCCACTTTACAACCGAACCAGCCATTCCTAAGGACACTGAATAAATGTAACCCACATTCCGTGGCCTAAAAAAATAGTCGAGCTTTTGATTGGACAATAAACTAATGCATGCTGCCTGGCCCAAAGCTTTGCTAAACGGTGATTGGCTGTGGGAAGATCCAATGCAGTTTTTAAGTGTTATCAACAAACCATAGGCCTACTCTTGTTGGCTCTAGCCTAGCTGATCTCCTCAGCACCATCTTAACTTGATTCTATATTCAGTCCATTCTTTTTTTTAACTTATCTCTTTGTGTGTATAAATTTAAGTTCACACACTCTAGTATTTTATTAATTATTGTATGACTTGACTAGTATTTTATTAAATTACAGACTAGATCTAGGGCCTACTGGCACTCATTTATTTTTTAATGTTGATGAAAATAGCAGAATCTAACTAGAGAACTAGTCTAGGCCTAATGAAATCGGGATCTAGATCTAGTCTATTAAAATATTTCTACAACCAAACCTCGTAGATCAACCAACATAATGAAAGTCCGATACTAAACTTGATTTAGATTAGAGTGTATACTGTCACGAATTTAATCGTCTACAAAACTTTAGCCTTAGCTCTTAACTTACTCAAATTCTTAATAATTTTTTTCTCAGGGGCAGAGGCGTAGCGAGGGGGGGGGGGGGGGACGACATATGTCCCCGGGTGCCGACCTTAGGGGGCGCCAAAATGGGTTGGAAAAATAAATTGAAACTTGAGGGAGGGTGCAAATGGAAAGTTTGAGGGGGGGGGGTGCGAATCGAAATTTTGAGGAGGGGGAGGGTGCAAATCGAAAGTTTGTCGCTACTCCTCTGCCCAGAGGGGGGGGGGAAGCACGCAGGTTGATTGATCTATATACAAATTCTATTTCGTCTCGTTGAGGAAGAAGAGATGCCTGAAAGAAACTCTGTTCACAACAACAAAGCTAGTAGTATTTGTTTCTTTCTCTCTCTCTCTCTCTCTCATCACCCCAATAGTAGACCTAGATCTATGTCACAAGTAAATGGCCAGTTAATTATCAAGATCACTATCATGTGACTGGAACATACTAAGAGTAGCCTATTTATTCTCAACAACCATCTGAAGTTTTAGTCTTCGTATTTTACGTGTTTATGATTGACAAGTATCAATGTAATACCCAACGAGTATAGGCCCTATAGTATTTATAGGCCCTATACATAAATGGTATTCTGCAAGTGAATAAACTGTGTATAACTATGTTTGCAGTTCGTGTGTATCCCTGGCAGTGTCTGGTGCCTTTCCTGAACATCTCAAGCAGCACAGCTATACAACATGCAGCCACACCTCCCCCTCCCACAAGTCAGACTCCCCCAGCCACCAGCACCCCACACCTCCACACAACAAGCCAGCCAATCACAGCTAACAGCCAAAATGAGAGGCTACCTTCAGTGCAAACTGCCGATGCTGGTAACTATGAAGCTAACTTAAAATCTTAGCCTCAACTTTCCTTGATTAACTTTCTTTAATATACATAATGTCTAGTTAATTAAACTGATTAACTATATGTCAATTTAGCAGACTTTAATATTATGAGGTAAAACTACAAATAGTGATCTTACGTTGACTGTGTAGGTTTGAAGGATGAAGAAGGGCTTGAGGATGATGATGACGATGTGTTTGAACCCATCACAACAGAATCTCCCAAATTTTCTCCCAAATCTCAAGCTAAGTCAGTCAAGAGGAGGACGCAATCACTGAGTGCACTCAAGGACAAGGATGAGAAGACAAGGAAGGTAAGACATTATTAGAATCTTGGTTACTGCTCACTGACTGACAAGGATGAGAAGACATGATTAGTCTTGGTCCTTTTGTAGGAGTTAACTCATTTTTTATTCCAGGTTTTAAAATTCTCTTTACTTGACATTTATCACATTCTCTCTTTAACTACATTTTAAAGTCCTACTCTTTATTTTTTTTTTTTAGAGCAAAGACCATATTCGAAGGCCTATGAATGCTTTCATGATATTCAGCAAGAGACACAGGGCTATGGTGCATGAGAGGCACCCTAACCAGGACAACCGCACAGTCAGCAAAATTTTGGGAGAGTGGTGGTACGCCTTGGGACCAGAGGAGAAGCAGCGGTATCACGACTTGGCGGCCAGGGTAGGCTGAAGCTTGGGGTTGTATGTATGGCCACTGTACACTTGGGGTTGTATGTATAGCCACTGTACACTTGGGGTTGTATGTATGGCCACTGTAGTTTGGGGTTGTATGTATGGCCACTGTAGTTTGGGGTTGTATGTATGGCCACTGTACACTTGGGGTTGTATGGATGGCCACTGTACACTTGGGGTTGTATGTATGGCCACTGTACACTTGGGGTTGTATGTATGGCCACTGTACACTTGGGGTTGTATAGATGGCCACTGTACACTTGGGGTTGTATGTATGGCCACTGTAGTTTGGGGTTGTATGTATGGCCACTGTACACTTGGGGTTGTATGTATGGCCACTGTACACTTGGGGTTGTATAGATGGCCACTGTACACTTGGGGTTGTATGTATGGCCACTGTACACTTGGGGTTGTATGGATGGCCACTGTAGTTTGGGGTTGTATGTATGGCCACTGTACACTTGGGGTTGTATGTATGGCCACTGTACACTTGGGGTTGTATAGATGGCCACTGTACACTTGGGGTTGTATGTATGGCCACTGTAGTTTGGGGTTGTATGTATGGCCACTGTACACTTGGGGTTGTATGGATGGCCACTGTACACTTGGGGTTGTATGTATAGCCACTGTACACTTGGGGTTGTATAGATGGCCACTGTACACTTGGGGTTGTATGTATGGCCACTGTACACTTGGGGTTGTATGGATGGCCACTGTACACTTGGGGTTGTATGTATGGCCACTGTACACTTGGGGTTGTATAGATGGCCACTGTACACTTGGGGTTGTATGTATGGCCACTGTAGTTTGGGGTTGTATGTATGGCCACTGTACACTTGGGGTTGTATGTATGGCCACTGTACACTTGGGGTTGTATAGATGGCCACTGTACACTTGGGGTTGTATGTATGGCCACTGTACACTTGGGGTTGTATAGATGGCCACTGTACACTTGGGGTTGTATGTATGGCCACTGTAGTTTGGGGTTGTATGTATGGCCACTGTAGTTTGGGGTTGTATGGATGGCCACTGTACACTTGGGGTTGTATAGATGGCCACTGTACACTTGGGGTTGTATGTATGGCCACTGTACACTTGGGGTTGTATGTATGGCCACTGTAGTTTGGGGTTGTATGGATGGCCACTGTACACTAGGGGTCGTATGTATGGCCACTGTAGTTTGGGGTTGTATGTATGGCCACTGTACACTTGAGGTTGTATGTATGGCCACTGTAGTTTGGGGTTGTATGGATGGCCACTGTAGTTTGGGGTTGTATGTATGGCCACTGTACACTTGAGGTTGTATGTATGGCCACTGTAGTTTGGGGTTGTATGGATGGCCACTGTACACTTGGGGTCGTATGTATGGCCACTGTACACTTGGGGTTGTAACTTGTATGTATGGCCACTGTAGTTTGGGGTTGTATGGATGGCCACTGTACACTTGGGGTTGTATGGATGGCCACTGTACACTTGGGGTTGTATAGATGGCCACTGTACACTTGGGGTTGTATGTATGGCCACTGTAGTTTGGGGTTGTATGGATGGCCACTGTAGTTTGGGGTTGTATGTATGGCCACTGTACACTTGGGGTTGTATGTATGGCCACTGTACACTTGGGGTTGTATGTATGGCCACTGTACACTTGGGGTTGTATGTATGGCCACTGTAGTTTGGGGTTGTATGTATGGCCACTGTACACTTGGGGTTGTATGGATGGCCACTGTAGTTTGGGGTTGTATGTATGGCCACTGTACACTGGAGGTTGTATGGATGGCCACTGTACACTTGGGGTTGTATGTATGGCCACTGTACACTTGGGGTTGTATGTATGGCCACTGTACACTTGGGGTTGTATGTATGGCCACTGTAGTTTGGGGTTGTATGGATGGCCACTGTACACTAGGGGTCGTATGTATGGCCACTGTAGTTTGGGGTTGTATGTATGGCCACTGTACACTTGAGGTTGTATGTATGGCCACTGTACACTTGGGGTTGTATGTATGGCCACTGTAGTTTGGGGTTGTATGTATGGCCACTGTAGTTTGGGGTTGTATGGATGGCCACTGTACACTTGGGGTTGTATAGATGGCCACTGTACACTTGGGGTTGTATGTATGGCCACTGTACACTTGGGGTTGTATGTATGGCCACTGTAGTTTGGGGTTGTATGGATGGCCACTGTACACTAGGGGTCGTATGTATGGCCACTGTAGTTTGGGGTTGTATGTATGGCCACTGTACACTTGAGGTTGTATGTATGGCCACTGTAGTTTGGGGTTGTATGGATGGCCACTGTAGTTTGGGGTTGTATGTATGGCCACTGTACACTTGAGGTTGTATGTATGGCCACTGTAGTTTGGGGTTGTATGGATGGCCACTGTACACTTGGGGTCGTATGTATGGCCACTGTACACTTGGGGTTGTAACTTGTATGTATGGCCACTGTAGTTTGGGGTTGTATGGATGGCCACTGTACACTTGGGGTTGTATGGATGGCCACTGTACACTTGGGGTTGTATAGATGGCCACTGTACACTTGGGGTTGTATGTATGGCCACTGTAGTTTGGGGTTGTATGGATGGCCACTGTAGTTTGGGGTTGTATGTATGGCCACTGTACACTTGGGGTTGTATGTATGGCCACTGTACACTTGGGGTTGTATGTATGGCCACTGTACACTTGGGGTTGTATGTATGGCCACTGTAGTTTGGGGTTGTATGTATGGCCACTGTACACTTGGGGTTGTATGGATGGCCACTGTAGTTTGGGGTTGTATGTATGGCCACTGTACACTGGAGGTTGTATGGATGGCCACTGTACACTTGGGGTTGTATGTATGGCCACTGTACACTTGGGGTTGTATGTATGGCCACTGTACACTTGGGGTTGTATGGATGGCCACTGTACACTTGGGGTTGTATGTATGGCCACTGTACACTTGGGGTTGTATGTATGGCCACTGTAGTTTGGGGTTGTATGTATGGCCACTGTACACTTGGGGTTGTATGGATGGCCACTGTACACTTGGGGTTGTATGTATGGCCACTGTACACTTGGGGTTGTATGTATGGCCACTGTACACTTGGGGTTGTATGGATGGCCACTGTACACTTGGGGTTGTATAGATGGCCACTGTACACTTGGGGTTGTATGTATGGCCACTGTAGTTTGGGGTTGTATGTATGGCCACTGTACACTTGGGGTTGTATGTATGGCCACTGTAGTTTGGGGTTGTATGTATGGCCACTGTACACTTGGGGTTGTATAGATGGCCACTGTACACTTGGGGTTGTATGTATGGCCACTGTACACTTGGGGTTGTATGTATGGCCACTGTACACTTGGGGTTGTATGTATGGCCACTGTAGTTTGGGGTTGTATGTATGGCCACTGTACACTTGGGGTTGTATAGATGGCCACTGTACACTTGGGGTTGTATGTATGGCCACTGTACACTTGGGGTTGTATGGATGGCCACTGTACACTGGAGGTTGTATGGATGGCCACTGTACACTTGGGGTTGTATGGATTTTTTATTTAGCAATTTCTGTTGTTGTTCTTACACAGGTCAAGGAAGCCCATTTTAAAGCCCATCCAGACTGGAAGTGGTGCAGCAAGGACCGCAAGAGGTCTGGCACTATAGCAGCCACACTAAACAAGCAACATGACAGCAGACTCAGTTCTACCGAGGATATTGACCTCTTAGGGTAGGTAATGGGGACCTACAAGGTTTTTACTGACCTGCATTTTTTTTTTGTTAGAATCATGAAAAGTCACATTTATAAGACTTGCCGTCTTTTTTTTGGTTAAAACTTGTCATTTGTGTTTAGTGAACCTGCCACACCCCCTGATAAAACTTGTCATTTATGTTTAGTGTACCCAGTGAACCTGCCACACCCCCTGATAAAACTTGTCATTTATGTTTAGTGTACCCAGTGAACCTGCCACACCCCCTGATAAAACTTGTCATTTATGTTTAGTGTACCCAGTGAACCTGCCACACCCACTGAACCTCTCCCCCGGACCAAACAGCCGAGCCTGGAGGACCCAGTGTTTGATGAACCTATCCTGTTGCCACGACAACGACCTCACAGCCTGTCAGCTGTTCCCAGGGATGAAGATGCCAGCAGTGCCTTTGTACCTTTTGTGCCTGTGGTGAGTTGTAGCCAGTGGAGGTGATATTCATTTCAGATACTTTTAGAGAAGTGTTCAACAAGATTATACATTGGTTCAAATGTTCTGTACTGATGTCCAACAGAGTTCAAGTGTCAAGGACAAAAGAAAAGACACCCGCCCTCAGATCACGGCCCCACAGACCAACCATGTGACGCCACCGTCCAACCATGTGACGCCACCGTCATCACGACGGACATCTCTCAAGAATGAGGAGGAGGACAGTGATGATGATTCCAAGATGGTCATCTGTGAAGAAGGTCAGCATGATGACCTCTGCTTTCTTACCTAACATTTCTCTCACAAAACTAAGATGGTCATCTGTGAAGAAGGTCAGCATGATGACCTCTGTTTCTTACCTAACATTTCTCTCACAAAACTAAGATGGTCATCTGTGAAGGTCAGCATGATGACCTCTGCTTTCTTACCTAACATTTCTCTCACAAAACCAAGATGGTCATCTGTGAAGGTCAGCATGATGACCTCTACTTTCTTACCTAACATTTCTCTCACAAAACTAAGATGGTCATCTGTGAAGAAGGTCAGCATGATGACCTCTGCTTTCTTACCTAACATTTCTCTCACAAAACCAAGATGGTCATCTGTGAAGAAGGTCAGCATGATGACCTCTGCTTTCTTACCTAACATTTCTCTCACAAAACCAAGATGGTCATCTGTGAAGAAGGTCAGCATGATGACCTCTGCTTTCTTACCTAACATTTCTCTCACAAAACTAAGATGGTCATCTGTGAAGGTCAGCATGATGACCTCTGCTTTCTTACCTAACATTTCTCTCACAAAACTAAGATGGTCATCTGTGAAGGTCAGCATGATGACCTCTGCTTTCTTACCTAACATTTCTCTCACAAAACTAAGATGGTCATCTGTGAAGGTCAGCATGATGACCTCTGCTTTCTTACCTAACATTTCTCTCACAAAACTAAGATGGTCATCTGTGAAGGTCAGCATGATGACCTCTGCTTTCTTACCTAACATTTCTCTCACAAAACTAAGATGGTCATCTGTGAAGGTCAGCATGATGACCTCTGCTTTCTTACCTAACATTTCTCTCACAAAACTTTTCATCATTTTTCTCAATGATAGCCTTTGATGCATTAGTCTGCTAATACAACCTATCTTTGCTCTGATTTATGCACATTGTGTACTGTTAATTTCTAGACTTCCTGTATGTTTACTGTGTATGTTGAAGTTTAGATTTCCTGTGTGTAACTAAAGTTGTGTGTTGAAGTCTAGACTTCCTGTGTGTAACTAAAGTTGTGTGTTGAAGTCTAGACTTCCTGTGTGTAACTAAAGTTGTGTGTTGAAGTCTAGACTTCCTGTGTGTAACTAAAGTTGTGTGTTGAAGTCTAGACTCCCTGTGTGTAGCTAAAGTTGTGTGTTGAAGTCTAGACTTCCTGTGTGTAACTAAAGTTGTGTGTTGAAGTCTAGACTTCCTGTGTGTAACTAAAGTTGTGTGTTGAAGTCTAGACTCCCTGTGTGTAACTAAAGTTGTGTGTTGAAGTCTAGACTTCCTGTGTGTAACTAAAGTTGTGTGTTGAAGTCTAGACTCCCTGTGTGTAGCTAAAGTTGTGTGTTGAAGTCTAGACTTCCTGTGTGTAACTAAAGTTGTGTGTTGAAGTCTAGACTTCCTGTGTGTAACTAAAGTTGTGTGTTGATGTCTAGACTCCCTGTGTGTAACTAAAGTTGTGTGTTGAAGTCTAGACTCCCTGTGTGTAGCTAAAGTTGTGTGTTGAAGTCTAGACTTCCTGTGTGTAACTAAAGTTGTGTGTTGAAGTCTAGACTTCCTGTGTGTAACTAAAGTTGTGTGTTGAAGTCTAGACTCCCTGTGTGTAACTAAAGTTGTGTGTTGAAGTCTAGACTTCCTGTGTGTAACTAAAGTTGTGTGTTGAAGTCTAGACTTCCTGTGTGTAACTAAAGTTGTGTGTTGAAGTCTAGACTTCCTGTGTGTAACTAAAGTTGTGTGTTGAAGTCTAGACTTCCTGTGTGTAACTAAAGTTGTGTGTTGAAGTCTAGACTCCCTGTGTGTAACTAAAGTTGTGTGTTGATGTCTAGACTTCCTGTGTGTAACTAAAGTTGTGTGTTGATGTCTAGACTCCCTGTGTGTAACTAAAGTTGTGTGTTGAAGTCTAGACTTCCTGTGTGTAACTAAAGTTGTGTGTTGAAGTCTAGACTTCCTGTGTGTAACTAAAGTTGTGTGTTGAAGTCTAGACTTCCTGTGTGTAACTAAAGTTGTGTGTTGAAGTCTAGACTCCCTGTGTGTAACTAAAGTTGTGTGTTGAAGTCTAGACTTCCTGTGTGTAGCTAAAGTTGTGTGTTGAAGTCTAGACTCCCTGTGTGTAACTAAAGTTGTGTGTTGAAGTCTAGACTTCCTGTGTGTAGCTAAAGTTGTGTGTTGAAGTCTAGACTTCCTGTGTGTAACTAAAGTTGTGTGTTGAAGTCTAGACTCCCTGTGTGTAACTAAAGTTGTGTGTTGAAGTCTAGACTTCCTGTGTGTAGCTAAAGTTGTGTGTTGAAGTCTAGACTTCCTGTGTGTAGCTAAAGTTGTGTGTTGAAGTCTAGACTTCCTGTGTGTAACTAAAGTTGTGTGTTGAAGTCTAGACTCCCTGTGTGTAACTAAAGTTGTGTGTTGAAGTCTAGACTTCCTGTGTGTAACTAAAGTTGTGTGTTGAAGTCTAGACTTCCTGTGTGTAACTAAAGTTGTGTGTTGAAGTCTAGACTTCCTGTGTGTAACTAAAGTTGTGTGTTGAAGTCTAGACTCCCTGTGTGTAACTAAAGTTGTGTGTTGAAGTCTAGACTTCCTGTGTGTAACTAAAGTTGTGTGTTGAAGTCTAGACTTCCTGTGTGTAACTAAAGTTGTGTGTTGAAGTCTAGACTCCCTGTGTGTAACTAAAGTTGTGTGTTGAAGTCTAGACTTCCTGTGTGTAACTAAAGTTGTGTGTTGAAGTCTAGACTTCCTGTGTGTAACTAAAGTTGTGTGTTGAAGTCTAGACTCCCTGTGTGTAACTAAAGTTGTGTGTTGAAGTCTAGACTTCCTGTGTGTAACTAAAGTTGTGTGTTGAAGTCTAGACTCCCTGTGTGTAACTAAAGTTGTGTGTTGATGTCTAGACTCCCTGTGTGTAACTAAAGTTGTGTGTTGAAGTCTAGACTTCCTGTGTGTAACTAAAGTTGTGTGTTGAAGTCTAGACTCCCTGTGTGTAACTAAAGTTGTGTGTTGAAGTCTAGACTTCCTGTGTGTAACTAAAGTTGTGTGTTGAAGTCTAGACTCCCTGTGTGTAACTAAAGTTGTGTGTTGATGTCTAGACTCCCTGTGTGTAACTAAAGTTGTGTGTTGAAGTCTAGACTTCCTGTGTGTAACTAAAGTTGTGTGTTGAAGTCTAGACTCCCTGTGTAGCTAAAGTTGTGTGTTGAAGTCTAGACTCCCTGTGTGTAACTAAAGTTGTGTGTTGAAGTCTAGACTTCCTGTGTGTAACTAAAGTTGTGTGTTGAAGTCTAGACTCCCTGTGTGTAACTAAAGTTGTGTGTTGAAGTCTAGACCCCCTGTGTGTAACTAAAGTTGTGTGTTGAAGTCTAGACTTCCTGTGTGTAACTAAAGTTGTGTGTTGAAGTCTAGACTTCCTGTGTGTAACTAAAGTTGTGTGTTGAAGTCTAGACTTCCTGTGTGTAACTAAAGTTGTGTGTTGAAGTCTAGACTCCCTGTGTGTAACTAAAGTTGTGTGTTGATGTCTAGACTCCCTGTGTGTAACTAAAGTTGTGTGTTGAAGTCTAGACTCCCTGTGTGTAACTAAAGTTGTGTGTTGATGTCTAGACTCCCTGTGTGTAACTAAAGTTGTGTGTTGAAGTCTAGACTCCCTGTGTGTAACTAAAGTTGTGTGTTGATGTCTAGACTTCCTGTGTGTAACTAAAGTTGTGTGTTGAAGTCTAGACTCCCTGTGTGTAACTAAAGTTGTGTGTTGATGTCTAGACTCCCTGTGTGTAACTAAAGTTGTGTGTTGATGTCTAGACTCCCTGTGTGTAACTAAAGTTGTGTGTTGATGTCTAGACTCCCTGTGTGTAACTAAAGTTGTGTGTTGATGTCTAGACTCCCTGTGTGTAACTAAAGTTGTGTGTTGAAGTCTAGACTCCCTGTGTGTAACTAAAGTTGTGTGTTTTTGTCTAGACTCCCTGTGTGTAACTAAAGTTGTGTGTTGAAGTCTAGACTCCCTGTGTGTAGCTAAAGTTGTGTGTTGAAGTCTAGACTTCCTGTGTGTAACTAAAGTTGTGTGTTGAAGTCTAGACTCCCTGTGTGTAACTAAAGTTGTGTGTTTTTGTCTAGACTCCCTGTGTGTAGCTAAAGTTGTGTGTTGAAGTCTAGACTCCCTGTGTGTAACTAAAGTTGTGTGTTGAAGTCTAGACTTCCTGTGTGTAACTAAAGTTGTGTGTTGAAGTCTAGACTTCCTGTGTGTAACTAAAGTTGTGTGTTGAAGTCTAGACTCCCTGTGTGTAACTAAAGTTGTGTGTTGAAGTCTAGACTTCCTGTGTGTAACTAAAGTTGTGTGTTGAAGTCTAGACTCCCTGTGTGTAACTAAAGTTGTGTGTTGAAGTCTAGACTTCCTGTGTGTAACTAAAGTTGTGTGTTGAAGTCTGTGTGTAACTAAAGTTGTGTGTTGATGTCTAGACTCCCTGTGTGTAACTAAAGTTGTGTGTTGAAGTCTAGACTTCCTGTGTGTAACTAAAGTTGTGTGTTGAAGTCTAGACTCCCTGTGTGTAACTAAAGTTGTGTGTTGAAGTCTAGACTTCCTGTGTGTAACTAAAGTTGTGTGTTGAAGTCTAGACTTCCTGTGTGTAACTAAAGTTGTGTGTTGAAGTCTAGACTTCCTGTGTGTAACTAAAGTTGTGTGTTGAAGTCTAGACTTCCTGTGTGTAACTAAAGTTGTGTGTTGATGTCTAGACTCCCTGTGTGTAGCTAAAGTTGTGTGTTGAAGTCTAGACTTCCTGTGTGTAACTAAAGTTGTGTGTTGAAGTCTAGACTTCCTGTGTGTAACTAAAGTTGTGTGTTGAAGTCTAGACACCCTGTGTGTAACTAAAGTTGTGTGTTGAAGTCTAGACTTCCTGTGTGTAACTAAAGTTGTGTGTTGATGTCTAGACTCCCTGTGTGTAACTAAAGTTGTGTGTTGATGTCTAGACTCCCTGTGTGTAGCTAAAGTTGTGTGTTGATGTCTAGACTTCCTGTGTGTAACTAAAGTTGTGTGTTGAAGTCTAGACTTCCTGTGTGTAACTAAAGTTGTGTGTTGATGTCTAGACTCCCTGTGTGTAGCTAAAGTTGTGTGTTGAAGTCTAGACTTCCTGTGTGTAACTAAAGTTGTGTGTTGAAGTCTAGACTTCCTGTGTGTAACTAAAGTTGTGTGTTGATGTCTAGACTTCCTGTGTGTAACTAAAGTTGTGTGTTGAAGTCTAGACTTCCTGTGTGTAACTAAAGTTGTGTGTTGATGTCTAGACTCCCTGTGTGTAGCTAAAGTTGTGTGTTGAAGTCTAGACTTCCTGTGTGTAACTAAAGTTGTGTGTTGAAGTCTAGACTTCCTGTGTGTAACTAAAGTTGTGTGTTGAAGTCTAGACACCCTGTGTGTAACTAAAGTTGTGTGTTGAAGTCTAGACTTCCTGTGTGTAACTAAAGTTGTGTGTTGATGTCTAGACTCCCTGTGTGTAGCTAAAGTTGTGTGTTGAAGTCTAGACTCCCTGTGTGTAACTAAAGTTGTGTGTTGATGTCTAGACTCCCTGTGTGTAACTAAAGTTGTGTGTTGAAGTCTAGACTTCCTGTGTGTAACTAAAGTTGTGTGTTGAAGTCTAGACTCCCTGTGTGTAACTAAAGTTGTGTGTTGAAGTCTAGACTTCCTGTGTGTAACTAAAGTTGTGTGTTGAAGTCTAGACTCCCTGTGTGTAACTAAAGTTGTGTGTTGAAGTCTAGACTCCCTGTGTGTAACTAAAGTTGTGTGTTGATGTCTAGACTCCCTGTGTGTAACTAAAGTTGTGTGTTGATGTCTAGACTCCCTGTGTGTAACTAAAGTTGTGTGTTGAAGTCTAGACTCCCTGTGTGTAACTAAAGTTGTGTGTTGATGTCTAGACTCCCTGTGTGTAGCTAAAGTTGTGTGTTGATGTCTAGACTTCCTGTGTGTAACTAAAGTTGTGTGTTGAAGTCTAGACTTCCTGTGTGTAACTAAAGTTGTGTGTTGAAGTCTAGACTCCCTGTGTGTAACTAAAGTTGTGTGTTGAAGTCTGTGTGTAACTAAAGTTGTGTGTTGAAGTCTAGACACCCTGTGTGTAGCTAAAGTTGTGTGTTGATGTCTAGACTCCCTGTGTGTAACTAAAGTTGTGTGTTGAAGTCTAGACCCCCTGTGTGTAACTAAAGTTGTGTGTTGAAGTCTGTGTGTAACTAAAGTTGTGTGTTGAAGTCTGTGTGTAACTAAAGTTGTGTGTTGAAGTCTGTGTGTAACTAAAGTTGTGTGTTGAAGTCTGTGTGTAACTAAAGTTGTGTGTTGAAGTCTAGACTTCCTGTGTGTAACTAAAGTTGTGTGTTGAAGTCTAGACTCCCTGTGTGTAACTAAAGTTGTGTGTTGATGTCTAGACTCCCTGTGTGTAGCTAAAGTTGTGTGTTGAAGTCTAGACACCCTGTGTGTAGCTAAAGTTGTGTGTTGAAGTCTAGACTCCCTGTGTGTAACTAAAGTTGTGTGTTGAAGTCTAGACACCCTGTGTGTAACTAAAGTTGTGTGTTGAAGTCTAGACTCCCTGTGTGTAACTAAAGTTGTGTGTTGAAGTCTGTGTGTAACTAAAGTTGTGTGTTGAAGTCTAGACTTCCTGTGTGTAACTAAAGTTGTGTGTTGAAGTCTAGACTCCCTGTGTGTAACTAAAGTTGTGTGTTGATGTCTAGACTCCCTGTGTGTAGCTAAAGTTGTGTGTTGAAGTCTAGACTTCCTGTGTGTAACTAAAGTTGTGTGTTGAAGTCTAGACTTCCTGTGTGTAACTAAAGTTGTGTGTTGAAGTCTAGACTTCCTGTGTGTAACTAAAGTTGTGTGTTGAAGTCTAGACTCCCTGTGTGTAGCTAAAGTTGTGTGTTGAAGTCTAGACACCCTGTGTGTAGCTAAAGTTGTGTGTTGAAGTCTAGACTCCCTGTGTGTAACTAAAGTTGTGTGTTGAAGTCTAGACACCCTGTGTGTAACTAAAGTTGTGTGTTGAAGTCTAGACTCCCTGTGTGTAACTAAAGTTGTGTGTTGAAGTCTGTGTGTAACTAAAGTTGTGTGTTGAAGTCTAGACTTCCTGTGTGTAACTAAAGTTGTGTGTTGATGTCTAGACTCCCTGTGTGTAGCTAAAGTTGTGTGTTGAAGTCTAGACTTCCTGTGTGTAACTAAAGTTGTGTGTTGAAGTCTAGACTTCCTGTGTGTAACAAAAGTTGTGTGTTGAAGTCTAGACTTCCTGTGTGTAACAAAAGTTGTGTGTTGAAGTCTAGACTTCCTGTGTGTAACTAAAGTTGTGTGTTGAAGTCTAGACTCCCTGTGTGTAACTAAAGTTGTGTGTTTGAACAGAAGAGACCAGCCAGCCAGGTGACATTGATCTGAAATGCGCTGAACAAGTCTCTGATTCAGCCACGGAGAGTGACAACGAGGACGAGGGACTAATAGAGAACAAGGCTTTTCCCCAGCAAAGGTTCTCACCTGTCATGAAACAGGTTTGGTCATTTCATCTGCCTTCACATCTTTAACTTCCTATTTGCTCCTTTTTTTTTTAAAAAAAATGTATTTTAATATCAGGGATGTGATTTTTCCGACTTGAGCAGAAATCCAATTTTTGTATTTGAGCTGCAACTTTCCTGCGCCAAATTCATTTTCTCCTGTTTGTTCTGCAGATGTAAATTTTATTGGGGAAACATTAAATGACAATTAGACATGACATGTATTGTTATTTTAGAGTAACATAAACTTATTTTTTAAAAAATATTAGCTGCTTTACATTATTGACAAGTGATGAATACAATAATGTAAGACTGCTTGAGCTATGATAAAACATTGATTACCAGTCCGAAAAAATTTCCTATATTTTTTTCATGGTCTGGTAATATCTCGTTAAATGAGGTACAAACTTGGAAGCCAAAATTTGTAGTTTCTAACATTCAATAGAGCTAGATGAACACAGATCTAATTTAGTTTTGTAGAAGCCAGTCATCTTACAAATTGTTTTTTTTCACTGCTTGATTGAATGATTGACTTGATTGAATGATTGACTTGCTGTTGTTGATCTGTCTGTCTGTAGGTGACCCAGGCAGATCTGCTGCACCCAAAGCCCATCAAGCCCACCTCAGGCAGCTACAGCAGCAGCTTCAGCAACCCTGTGGTGACCACCAGCTATGTCAGCAACCCTGTGGTGACCACCAGCTATGTCAGCAACCCTGCTGCAACCACCAACTACACCAACCCCACGTCATCGTCTGGCTATGCCAACCCTCCAGCAACCAACAGCTATGCCAACCCTCCAGCAACCAGCAGCGGTGTATACACCAACCAGCCAGAGATGCCCTCTCTCCAATCAGCCAATAAGGAGGCTCTAGCACTGCCACGCCCATCCAGTACTGGCTCAGGCTTCCAGCCCAAAGGGGATGTGTTCCAGGTAAGTCAGTCTAGTCTATTGATGTGTTACATGTAAGTCAGTCTAGTCTATTGATGTGTTACATGTAAGTCAGTCTAGTCTATTGATGTGTTCCAGGTAAGTCAGTCTAGTCTATTGATGTGTTCCAGGTAAGTCAGTCTAGTCTATTGATGTGTTACATGTAAGTCAGTCTAGTCTATTGATGTGTTACATGTAAGTCAGTCTAGTCTATTGATGTGTTCCAGGTAAGTCAGTCTAGTCTATTGATGTGTTACATGTAAGTCAGTCTAGTCTATTGATGTGTTACATGTAAGTCAGTCTAGTCTATTGATGTGTTACATGTAAGTCAGTCTAGTCTATTGATGTGTTCCATGTAAGTCAGTCTAGTCTATTGATGTGTTACATGTAAGTCAGTCTAGTCTATTGATGTGTTACATGTAAGTCAGTCTAGTCTATTGATGTGTTACATGTAAGTCAGTCTAGTCTATTGATGTGTTACATGTAAGTCAGTCTAGTCTATTGATGTGTTACATGTAAGTCAGTCTAGTCTATTGATGTGTTACATGTAAGTCAGTCTAGTCTATTGATGTGTTACAGGTAAGTCAGTCTAGTCTATTGATGTGTTACATGTAAGTCAGTCTAGTCTATTGATGTGTTCCAGGTAAGTCAGTCTAGTCTATTGATGTGTTACATGTAAGTCAGTCTAGTCTATTGATGTGTTACATGTAAGTCAGTCTAGTCTATTGATGTGTTCCAGGTAAGTCAGTCTAGTCTATTGATGTGTTACAGGTAATTCAGTCTAGTCTATTGATGTGTTACATGTAAGTCAATCTAGTCTATTGATGTGTTCCAGGTAAGTCAGTCTAGTCTATTGATGTGTTACATGTAAGTCAGTCTAGTCTATTGATGTGTTCCAGGTAAGTCAGTCTAGTCTATTGATGTGTTACAGGTAAGTCAGTCTAGTCTATTGATGTGTTACATGTAAGTCAATCTAGTCTATTGATGTGTTCCAGGTAAGTCAGTCTAGTCTATTGATGTGTTACATGTAAGTCAGTCTAGTCTATTGATGTGTTCCAGGTAAGTCAGTCTAGTCTATTGATGTGTTACATGTAAGTCAGTCTAGTCTATTGATGTGTTACATGTAAGTCAGTCTAGTCTATTGATGTGTTACATGTAAGTCAGTCTAGTCTATTGATGTGTTACATGTAAGTCAGTCTAGTCTATTGATGTGTTCCAGGTAAGTCAGTCTAGTCTATTGATGTGTTACATGTAAGTCAGTCTAGTCTATTGATGTGTTACATGTAAGTCAGTCTAGTCTATTGATGTGTTACATGTAAGTCAGTCTAGTCTATTGATGTGTTCCATGTAAGTCAGTCTAGTCTATTGATGTGTTACATGTAAGTCAGTCTAGTCTATTGATGTGTTACATGTAAGTCAGTCTAGTCTATTGATGTGTTACATGTAAGTCAGTCTAGTCTATTGATGTGTTACATGTAAGTCAGTCTAGTCTATTGATGTGTTACATGTAAGTCAGTCTAGTCTATTGATGTGTTACATGTAAGTCAGTCTAGTCTATTGATGTGTTACATGTAAGTCAGTCTAGTCTATTGATGTGTTACAGGTAAGTCAGTCTAGTCTATTGATGTGTTACATGTAAGTCAGTCTAGTCTATTGATGTGTTCCAGGTAAGTCAGTCTAGTCTATTGATGTGTTACATGTAAGTCAGTCTAGTCTATTGATGTGTTACATGTAAGTCAGTCTAGTCTATTGATGTGTTCCAGGTAAGTCAGTCTAGTCTATTGATGTGTTACAGGTAATTCAGTCTAGTCTATTGATGTGTTACATGTAAGTCAATCTAGTCTATTGATGTGTTCCAGGTAAGTCAGTCTAGTCTATTGATGTGTTACATGTAAGTCAGTCTAGTCTATTGATGTGTTCCAGGTAAGTCAGTCTAGTCTATTGATGTGTTACAGGTAAGTCAGTCTAGTCTATTGATGTGTTACATGTAAGTCAATCTAGTCTATTGATGTGTTCCAGGTAAGTCAGTCTAGTCTATTGATGTGTTACATGTAAGTCAGTCTAGTCTATTGATGTGTTCCAGGTAAGTCAGTCTAGTCTATTGATGTGTTACATGTAAGTCAGTCTAGTCTATTGATGTGTTACATGTAAGTCAGTCTAGTCTATTGGTGTGTTACATGTAAGTCAGTCTAGTCTATTGGTGTGTTCCAGGTAAGTCAGTCTAGTCTATTGATGTGTTACATGTAATTCAGTCTAGTCTATTGATGTGTTACAGGTAAGTCAGTCTAGTCTATTGGTGTGTAACTGAACTAAAGAATGTGAAGCTATAGCTGGATCAGGGGTCTCCAAACTGCGGCCCGCGAGGCCCTCTCATCCGGCCCGCGAAGGTCTTTGTGTCCACGGAAAAAATGTTTGGCTGAGGGACTTTGCCCAGAAAATTAAAAACACCCCGAAGAGATTTCTTGAAGAAAACTCTGGCTCTGGCCCCCGAACTGATATTTGATAGTTAAAGTGGCCCACGGGCTGAAAAGTTTGGAGACCCCTGAGCTAGATGAATCCACCCATACCATAGCTAGATGAATCCACCCATACCATAGCTAGATGAATCCACCCATATCATAGCTAGATTAATCCACCCATACCATGGCTACATGAATCCACCCATACCATAGCTAGATGAATCCACCCATACCATAGCTAGATGAATCCACCCATACCATAGCTACATGAATCCACCCATACCATAGCTAGATGAATCCACCCATACCATAGCTAGATGAATCCACCCATACCATAGCTAGATGAATCCACCCATACCATAGCTAGATGAATCCACCCATACCATAGCTAGATGAATCCACCCATACCATAGCTAGATGAATCCACCCATATCAGCCCTGGTTTCTCCTGCAGCAGGCCAAGCCCAAAAGTAAACTCCAGAGGATGATGTCAGTTGGAAGTGTGGAGAATATTTCCCAAGCTGTCCAGAAGCAGCTTGAGCTGAAGTCATCTCGCAGTGAAGATAAGCCAGACACCCCCAAACAGAGCAACTCTGGCTTCTTTAGCCACCACACAGTAAGTTGTTAGTCAACATGGCAGTACACACTGACTGTAGGTGACATGTCATCACACACTGACTGTAGGATGTAGGTGACATGTGACATGACATAACAATGTCACCATGGCTGCTAAGATTTCATGACATGAATGCTTGTGATCTAGGTGCCACCTGTAGATGATACACTTGCTTATATCCTATGCCTGTAGCTTGATGTTATTTTGTGTGTCAGACTGAGAAACTAGGTGGCATGAAGATCCACAACATTACAGTGATGCAGGATGACAGACAGCAGATCCTCATGTCCAGCAACATGCAGACTACCATGGGACGGCAGGATGGGCCGGTGCTTGGGAAAATTTCCAGAGTCAGAGGAGTCAGGGGACAGGTGAGAAATGTTGACTCACGTAGAAAAATTAGTTTGATGGCAGTCTGATGGACCAGCCAATAACTTGTCTTTTATCACTTTTAGACATCCCAGAACCAGCCAGGTAATCCAGGTGTACAGCAAGCAAACAGCCAGGTGCCACAGAACTCTTACATCCAAATTTCATCAGCCTCTGGCCCCCTGCAGCTGATGACCTCACAGGTAAGTGCTTGTCAGTGGTTGGGGCTGATGTTTTTAGATGTCTCATGGCATAGTAGCATGTAGAGAAGTGTTTGATCAGCTGTTGTGTTTGTATCCACAGATCTTGATGACATTTGTGTTTGTATCCACAGATCTTGATGACAGTTTGTATCCACAGATCTTGATGACTGTTTGTATCCACAGATCTTGATGACTGTTGTGTTTGTATCCACAGATCTTGATGACTGTTTGTATCCACAGATCTTGATGACAGTTTGTATCCACAGATCTTGATGACATTTGTGTTTGTATCCACAGATCTTGATGACAGTTTGTATCCACAGATCTTGATGACAGTTGTGTTTGTATCCACAGATCTTGATGACTGTTTGTATCCACAGATCTTGATGACAGTTGTGTTTGTATCCACAGATCTTGATGACAGTTGTGTTTGTATCCACAGATCTTGATGACTGTTTGTATCCACAGATCTTGATGACAGTTGTGTTTGTATCCACAGATCTTGATGACTGTTTGTATCCACAGATCTTGATGACAATTGTGTTTGTATCCACAGATCTTGATGACTGTTTGTATCCACAGATCTTGATGACAATTGTGTTTGTATCCACAGATCTTGATGAGCAGTACCAGCACCAGTGACACCATGACACCAGCATTTGCCACCACAGTTAAACCTATCTCCACACCTGTACCCATCGCCTCCAAGCCTATCCCTCACTCCCCGTCGCCAGTAGGGGGCGTGGCTAAACCAGCCACCATCCAAGCCCTTCAGCAGCAGCAAACCAACCTTAAGAACAACCCTGTGGTTGTCATTCAGGGCAACCAGTATGCTGGGATGACAGTGGTCAATGCTAACAGACTTTCTGGACCAGCCAGTGTCACACCACAAGGTGACTTATTCTCCTCTCATTTACTGCCTCAAACCTAACTGGCATAAACATGTTTCCAATTTTTAACATTAACTCTTTAAGGGGATATGCTATGTTTTTTTCTATTTTTTACAGTTTAAGATCTAAAGCCTTTTTAATACTTTTATCATATTTGGCATATAAAAGTATTTATTAAACAGCAAAAAAAAGGGTCGAAAACAATTTTGGTTGTCATGGAAACCCAAAAAACCTCCGCCATTTTGAATTTTTCGGTACTTTTAAAAATACTAAGGCTTTTTTATTTATGCACCTATAGCAATCAAATTTAAACTGCTTATATTTCAGTATATGTTAAAACTTTTGTCACGACAACTTTTTGAAATAATTACTAGTAAGAATTTTACAAGGTCTAAAAAATCGTACCCTTTTTAGTATTCAAAAGTTTCAAAATTTGCATATTAATTACCAAATACTTTTTTTCTATGAGAGCAATCACAATTCCCTCGTGACAAAAGTTGTATTTTTGCATCAAAAACAAGTACTGAAAATATGGTTGGCATTGTTTAATAAATAAAAAAGTAGTAGGCTTTTTAGTGTTAAAAACATGCGAACTGAGAAAAACAGCCAAAAGTAACGAAAACTAGGTCAGGAAAGTACCATATCTGTGTAAACTGCAAAGCGGATTGTAAGCTTTGGGTGTTTCCGAGATGTAGGAAATTAAGTTTATTAGATACATGAGAAATCCAGCTTTCCAATGATGTCAAATACAATATAATGATGGATATAAAATTTTTCATAGAGATCTTGTAAGATTGGGAAAAATTGATTATTTTTTAATTAATGAGGTCATAAAAATCGTAATTCAAACACATAAAATATTTTTTTTCTCTTTAAAGTTATTATTTTCTTTATAAGAAATGGACAAAGTATCCAAAAGTGCAAGAAACTGATCATGACGAAAAACAATAAATTTTGTGATTTTTTTCTGCGCATATCCCCTTAACACCAGAAAGAAGCCCCTAATTTCCAAACATATTTTTATGATTAGTTTTTTATTTAATAACTTTAAAACCACTCGAAAAACTGCTGAATCCTGTTCAGTGCATCCAAACATTTGTGTCGTAGTGTAAAACAATTAACCAATATTAAAGTATTCTATGATTTTGGTAGAAAAATTGTTGCACTTTTGTTTTCTATAAATAAGAAATAGCAAAAAATAATTATCATTCATTTTCCCAAAATAATAGCTACTACTAGTTATATTTCTTTGCTTAAAACAAAAAAACAATATGTACATTATTTTTTAAATTATATTGGTGCATATATGATTTATGTGTATCAATAATGTGTGGGTTTAAAATAAACAAGTTACTCTTGGAAAAAGGATAAACAAATGATAATAATTCTAGTCTTTAAAAGTGAATCATAAGTTGCCTATAGATTATGATGAAAACCTAATGTTTAAAAGTGAATCATAAGTTGCCTATAGGTTCTGATGAAAACCTAATGTTTAAAAGTGAATCATAAGTTGCCTATAGATTCTGATGAAAACCTAATGTTTAAAAGTAAATCATAAGTTGCCTATAGATTCTGATGAAAACCTAATGTTTAAAAGTAAATCATAAGTTGCCTATAGATTCTGATGAAAACCTAATGTTTAAAAGTGAATCATAAGTTGCCTATAGATTCTGATGAAAACCTAATGTTTAAAAGTAAATCATAAGTTGCCTATAGATTCTGATGAAAACCTAATGACTGAACTGTTTCTTCAGCATTTATGACTGCTACATTAAGAAGTATGACCCCTCCTCAAGTCAATACAATGACCCCTTCTCATGGGAACACAATGACCCCTTCCCATGGGAGTACAATGACCCCAGCACAAGGAAACATGACCAGCACACACGTCAGCTCACAGCAACAAGTTCACCAGCAGGTTCAGGTTAGCTTTAGATTTGGCTTGGTCTGTTTTAGCACTTTGGTTAAGTTTGTAATTACATTTTGTTTTGGTTTAGATTTATATTTAGTTAGGTTAATATCTACCTTAGAATTTGTTTTGGTTTATATTTACATTTGAATTTTTTTTGGTTTATATTTATATTTGGTTAGGTTTATATTTACATTTATATTTGGTTAGGTTTATATTTACATTTGAATTTGTTTTGGTCTCTATTAACACTATTTAGCTTAAATGTTCATCTCTGTGTATTGATGAATGTAGTCAGGTTTTTTTTTTTTCATCAAGCAGCCAACTTTTCTTACAACTGGACTTTTCCTAAAGGCCAATACCACCACCTTGACCCAGCAGCCAACGAATATCCAAACCTTGAGTCTCTCACCTGGCCAGGCATCTCAACAGCCTACACATGTCAAGTAAGTTTATCTGGCGCACTTGTAGACCACTTGTCAAGTAATTTTATCTGGTGCTATTTTAGACCACACATGTCAAGTAAGTTTATCTGGCGCACTTGTTGACCACATGTCAAGTAAGTTTATCTGGCACACTTGTAGGGTTTCACTCTGTCTCCACCAAGTAGGGCCATTAGTGTTGACTTCTCAGAATTTAATAACTTACAATTATTTAATTAAATTTATTTTTATTGATATGTAAATGTTTTAATTATTTATTTTTTTGGCTATCATCTGTTTGTATGGGAAAAAAAACTACTGTTAATTAAAAGGTTTTTATAAATTTTGAAGGAAGTCAGCCAAATTATTTGAACTGAATTAATTGTTTGGCTACCAGAACACATGTTAGCTGGTGTGTGTATAACCAGTGGCGTAGCGAGGTCGGGTGTCACCCGGTGCAGCACTTAATGGTGTCACCCCCCAGAGGTGTAGTGACCCTTCCCGGGGACAAACTTTCAATTTTCGATGTGCACCTCTTAAAAGACTATTTAAGGGGATATGCGCGGAAAAAAATCACAAAATTTCTTGTTTTTCGTCATGATGGGTTTTTTGCACTTTTGGATACTTTGTCCATTTTTGTATAAAAAAAATAATAACTTTAAAGAGAAAAAAATATTTTATGTGTTTGAATTACGATTTTTATGACCCTATTAATTAAAAAATAATCAATTTTTCCCAATCTTAAAAGCTCTCTATGAAAAGTTTTATATCCGTCATTATAATGTATTTGACATCATTGGAAAGCTTGATTTCTCATGTATTTAATAAACTTAATTTCCTACATCTCGGAAACACCCAAAGCTTACAATCGGCTTTGCAGTTTACACAGATATGGTACTTTCCTGACCTAGTTTTTGTTACTTTTGGCCGTTTTTCTCAGTTCGCAGGTTTTTAACACTAAAAAGCCTACTACTTTTTTATTTATTAAACAATGCCAACCATATTTTCAGTAAATGTTCTTGATGCAAAAATACAACTTTTGTCACGAGGGAATTTTGATTGCTTGCATAGAAAAAAAGTATTTGGTAATTAATATGCACATTTTGAAACTTTTGAATACTAAAAAGGGTACGATTTTTTAGACCTTGTAAAATTCTTACTAGTAATTATTTCAAAAAGTTGTCGTGACAAAAGTTTTAATATATACTGAAATATAAGCAGTTTAAATATGATTGCTATAGGTGCATAAATAAAAAAGCCTTAGTATTTTTAAATGTACCAAAAAATTCAAAATGGCGGAGGTTTTTTTGGGTTTCCATGACAACCAAAATTGTTTTCGACCCTTTTTTTCCTGTTTAATACTTACTTTTATATGCCAAATATGATAAAAGTATTCAAAAGGCTTTAGATCTTAAACTGTAAAAAATAGAAAAAAACATAGCATATCCCCTTAACACTCGAATTAATCACTTAATTAAGTGGAATTATCATTTTACTCTGTATAGTTTGCTATTTTTTGCCTTTGTGTCAACCCCTAAATGGTGTCACCTGGTGCGGTCCGCACCCCCGCCCCCTTGCTACGCCACTGTGTATAACTGCAGCAAATAATTTAGTTTGTGTGTGTTTGAACCTTCAGGTACATCCTGCCATCACTGCAGCAAATAATGTGTGTGTGTGTGTTTGAACCTTCAGGTATATCCTGCCATCACTGCAGCAAATAATTAAGTGTGTGTGTGTTTGAACCTTCAGGTACATCCTGCCATCACTGCAAGTCCAGGGTGCTGCACAGGGCAGCAAAGTTCTACAGATGGCTCTACCTGGCACCACCATCCAACCCACCAACTTGTTAGCTGTGGCCAGCCCTGGACCTTCTGGTCAAGCCAGTCCCATTCCTGCTGGCAAGATCCAGATCCACAAAGTCCAGAGTTCCCAGCACCAGCAGGTAGGTTATAGATCCTTCAGGTAGGTCATAGATCCAGCAGGTAGGTCATAGATCCAGCAGGTAGGTCATAGATCCAGCAGGTAGGTCATAGATCCAGCAGGTAGGTCATAGATCCTTCAGGTAGGTCATAGATCCAGCAGGTAGGTCATAGATCCAGGAGGTAGGTCATAGATCCAGGAGGTAGGTCATAGATCCACAAGGTAGAGCAACAAGTAGCTCTTCTGTCAGACACCCTCTTTGTGTTGGCCATTGAATGGGGTTGTAACACTAGCACCAACCCTGGACTCTCCTTGACAAACAGGTACCTATTGGATCTGGATGGACCGGTATCTTATGGACTCAGGGTTCCTGCGGCCTCCTGAAATTCCAGGATGTCCTGGAATTCTCCTGGAATTTCAAAAAACCAGAAAACTCCTGAAATTCTCCTGGAATTTTATCATTTCTCCTGAAATTTTGTAATATGTCCTGGAATTTTATTCGCATCGATAATTTTAGCGAATATTTTTTTCGCGCGTTAGATTTCTAGGTAATCAGATCTGACCGCCCCAGTAAAAATGTTCTGCCTTTTCAATTCTTCGCGTTACAAGGCACACATTTTAAAATATAGACTCAAAGCTGTCTTTAACATGTGGGTTTGGTTTAATTTTTTTTCTCACGTCTTTCTATGTGTGCGGTTCTGTTGAATAGGCCTGACTTTTTTTTTTAAATTGGAAATTCCAAGGCCTAGGCCAAAATCTAGTTTTTGTGCAGCTAATTTGAATCTACAGTCAGATAGGCTCTAGATCTACTTTCTATTTTTACATGCGTGTTGTAATACTACCACCCTCCCATCCCACATCTCAGTTTCTTTCCCACCACAGGGTGGGGGAGGGAGGACCGCTGGTTGGGTATATGAAGTGAACTCTGTGTGACCCGCTAGTGATGTCATCAGCAGTATACTACAGGCCAACAGTAAGCTTAGATGAACTCAAATTGACACCACGCGACGGTGTCTAGCTGGAGGAAAAAAATACGCTACCGGCAATAAAAAAAACAACTATCTGGAAATTCTATTTTTGGCTAAAATATTTTACATTTTTCAAGTATTAGTATTAGGGGGTCGTCCATAAATGACGTCACACTCGTAAGGGGAAGGGGGTCCATAATTTTGTGATGAGGGGGGGGTGTTCAGATGGTGGGACGTCACACTTTTGCATTATAAAAAGCAATGTTAGAAAACGAATTTAAGCCGTTATTTCCCGTTTTAGAAAACTGTTTTAATAAATTGTAATAGGAATTGATCAAAATACTCTGTTGACGGCGTTCTGACAAGATTTTGGAAAAATATCGATGTTTTAAGAAAAAATCAACATCAATTTTGAGAGGGGTTGTAGGCTGAGGTGTGACGTCATTTTAGGGGGGGGGGGTCTGGCTTTTTGTGACGACGTGGGGAGGGGGTAAAAATCGTCAAAAAAAGCGCGACGTCATTTATGGATGACCCCTTGCCCTTATTTCCAAAATACAGTTTATTTCTAGTAGGATAAATCTAAGCTACTCAGGTTGATCTACAGGATAGTGACTGGGAAAAAGTGCCACCAAATTTACCAAGGGGGGGGGGGGGAGGAGAGAAAGGAGAGATAGCAATTTTATGAATAACAATTTATAAATGGGAGGGGTGGGGTGCAAAATTGAATCTACTTTAACTAAACTAAATGGTTTAGAAACAGTTACTTTTAAAAATTACAAATGCTATGCTACATAGAATTTTATAAAGTCCACTTCCTAATTAAGAAATGTCAAACTCCCTTCCATTCAGCGTGGGGTTCAGTTGTTGTTGCTTTTTAATAGGTTAAATTATGTCCTGGAATTTTGGTTTTTCTCCTGAAAAACTCCTGGAATTCTCCTGGAATTTCAAGTTCACTTTGGTGTAGGAACCCTGTGGACTATACCAAAATCATAGATTTGCGTGTGACAGTTAATTAAAATAACTGACCAGTGACAGTTAATTAATGGATTTCCATTTGCCGAATGTTTGCAGGTAGCCATGCTGGTCCAGTCGCCAGCCACATCTGTAGGGCAGGTTCAAATCTCAACCGGAACTTTTGCCCCACCCATTGTGTGCCTGTCCATGGCGCCATCGTCCAACATTCCAGGTCTTCAGGCTGCCTCGGGCAACATCCTGACCCAGACTGCTGCCATAGTGCAGGGCAACCTACGTCAGGGCCAGCAGAGAATCCTGCTGCCCACATCACAGAAGTAAGTACTCAGTCCATCATGGCTTGAGCTAGTTCACAGTTTCAATATGTTGGGTTAGAAGTCATGCACTCTGCAATCAGACCACACCCTCCTAATTTTATATATGGATAGTTGGTGATGTCATTGTTCATGTATCTAATAATAATATATTTTTTTTAAAACTTGATCTACAACACACATGTGCTGACTCTGTCTTTCTTTACTAGGCTAAACTATGTTCCCCAACAAGTGACCCTGACCTCAGGAGCCAAGGGAGAGACAATCCAGTATGTGCCAGCCTATGTCAGCTCAGTCCCAGCAGGTAAGCTCACCTGGTAGCTAGTCAACTTTTTGTCTCAAAAAAGTTTAAAGACGCAGGTTGTGACTCATGTCTCACTAAAGTTTAAAGATGAGGTTGTGACTCTTGTCTCCCCAAAGTTTAAAGACACAGGTTGTGACTCTTGTCTCCCCAAAGTTTAAAGACGCGGGTTGTGACTCTTGTCTCCCCAAAGTTTAAAGATGAGGTTGTGACTCTTGTCTCCCCAAAGTTTAAAGATGAGGTTGTGACTCTTGTCTCCCCAAAGTTTAAAGATGAGGTTGTGACTCTTGTCTCCCCAATGTTTAAAGACGCAGGTTGTGACTCTTTTCTCCCCAAAGTTTAAAGACGCAGGTTGTGACTCTTGTCTCCCCAAAGTTTAAAGATGAGGTTGTGACTCTTGTCTCCCCAAAGTTTAAAGACGCAGGTTGTGACTCTTGTCTCCCCAAAGTTTAAAGACGCAGGTTGTGACTCTTGTCTCCCCAAAGTTTAAAGATGAGGTTGTGACTCTTGTCTTCCCAAAGTTTAAAGACGCAGGTTGTGACTCTTGTCTCCCCAAAGTTTAAAGATGAGGTTGTGACTCTTTTCTCCCCAAAGTTTAAAGACGCAGGTTGTGACTCTTGTCTCCCCAAAGTTTAAAGATGAGGTTGTGACTCTTGTCTCCCCAAAGTTTAAAGACGCAGGTTGTGACTCTTGTCTTCCCAAAGTTTAAAGATGAGGTTGTGACTCTTTTCTCCCCAAAGTTTAAAGACGCAGGTTGTGACTCTTGTCTTTCCAAAGTTTAAAGATGAGGTTGTGACTCTTTTCTCCCCAAAGTTTAAAGACGCAGGTTGTGACTCTTGTCTTCCCAAAGTTTAAAGACGCAGGTTGTGACTCTTGTCTCCCCAAAGTTTAAAGACGCAGGTTGTGACTCTTGTCTCCCCAAAGTTTAAAGATGAGGTTGTGACTCTTGTCTTCCCAAAGTTTAAAGATGAGGTTGTGACTCTTGTCTTCCCAAAGTTTAAAGATGAGGTTGTGACTCTTGTCTCCCCAAAGTTTAAAGACGCAGGTTGTGACTCTTGTCTCCCCAAAGTTTAAAGACGCAGGTTGTGACTCTTGTCTCCCCAAAGTTTAAAGATGAGGTTGTGACTCTTTTCTCCCCAAAGTTTAAAGAAGCAGGTTGTGACTCTTGTCTCCCCAAAGTTTAAAGACGCAGGTTGTGACTCTTGTCTCCCCAAAGTTTAAAGATGAGGTTGTGACTCTTTTCTCCCCAAAGTTTAAAGACGCAGGTTGTGACTCTTGTCTCCCCAAAGTTTAAAGATGAGGTTGTGACTCTTTTCTCCCCAAAGTTTAAAGATGAGGTTGTGACTCTTGTTTCCCCAAAGTTTAAAGACGCAGGTTGTGACTCTTGTCTCCCCAAAGTTTAAAGACGCAGGTTGTGACTCTTGTCTTCCCAAAGTTTAAAGACACAGGTTGTGACTCTTGTCTCCCCAAAGTTTAAAGATGAGGTTGTGACTCTTGTCTCCCCAAAGTTTAAAGACACAGGTTGTGACTCTTGTCTCCCCAAAGTTTAAAGACACAGGTTGTGACTCTTGTCTCCCCAAAGTTTAAAGACACAGGTTGTGACTCTTGTCTCCCCAAAGTTTAAAGATGAGGTTGTGACTCTTGTCTTCCCAAAGTTTAAAGACACAGGTTGTGACTCTTGTCTCCCCAAAGTTTAAAGATGAGGTTGTGACTCTTGTTTCCCCAAAGTTTAAAGACGCAGGTTGTGACTCTTGTCTCCCCAAAGTTTAAAGACGCAGGTTGTGACTGTTAACTTGTTCTTGTCCCCCCACAGGTCAGCATGTTCTGTTAACCTGTTCTTGTCCCCCCACAGGTCAGCATGTTCTGGTCCAGCAGTCCACTCAGCCAGTGAGCTCCCCCACCATCACCCCTGCCCTCAACTCCCAGGTGCACATCTCCCAGCATGCCCCAGCTACAGGAAGTAGCATGACAGTGTCCCAACAGGCAACCAGAACTTTGTCAAGTATCCTGGCCACCCAGTCTCCACCACAAACATCAAGCCCTAAGTTTTACCAAGGTAGGCCATTCTTCAGGCTGGGTCAGCCGTTCTTCAGGCTGGGTCAGCCGTTCTTCAGGCTGGGTCAGCCGTTCTTCAGGCTGGGTCAGCCGTTCTTCAGGCTGGGTCAGCCGTTCCTCAGGCTGGGTCAGCCGTTCTTCAGGCTGGGTCAGCCGTTCTTCAGGCTGGGTCAGCCGTTCTTCAGGCTGGGTCAGCCGTTCTTCAGGCTGGGTCAGCCGTTCTTCAGGCTGGGTCAGCCGTTCTTCAGGCTGGGTCAGCCGTTCTTCAGGCTGGGTCAGCCGTTCTTCAGGCTGGGTCAGCCGTTCTTCAGGCTGGGTCAGCTGTTCTTCAGGCTGGGTCAGCCGTTCTTCAGGCTGGGTCAGCTGTTCTTCAGGCTGGGTCAGCCGTTCTTCAGGCTGGGTCAGCCGTTCCTCAGGCTGGGTCAGCTGTTCTTCAGGCTGGGTCAGCCGTTCTTCAGGCTGGGTCAGCCGTTCTTCAGGCTGGGTCAGCCGTTCTTCAGGCTGGGTCAGCCGTTCTTCAGGCTGGGTCAGCTGTTCTTCAGGCTGGGTCAGCCGTTCTTCAGGCTGGGTCAGCCGTTCTTCAGGCTGGGTCAGCCGTTCTTCAGGCTGGGTCAGCCGTTCTTCAGGCTGGGTCAGCTGTTCTTCAGGCTGGGTCAGCTGTTCTTCAGGCTGGGTCAGCCGTTCTTCAGGCTGGGTATTGCAGGACAATATCATCCATCAGTATTTCTTGTAATAAATAAAATTAAATGTCTGCTTTCTAATAAGTTTCAAAAATATTAATAGAGTTGTGCCTTGTAAACATTATGTCTTTCTTCCCCCCCCCCCCCCCCCCCCCCCCCCAAGGCTCAATGAACATAAAGACCAATGTGATGAGTACAGAGGGTAAGGCAGCTGATATTGGCTACATCAGTAGCCCCAACTTTCTACAGAAGTCTAACCGGGTCAAGGCTACAACTGCACATGTGCCTGTAGCCACTGAGAGTTTGAAGCCCTTGCAGTGTAAGTAGAGAAACATTGACAGAAACCTTGACTCTTGAAACATTGACAGAAACCTTGACTCTTGAAACATTGACAGAAACCTTGACTCTTGAAATATTGACAGAAACATTGACTGTTGAGACATTGACTGTTGAGACATTGACATTGATTGTTTAGAGACCACACAAGCAGATAATGAGCCCTGTTTGACAGCGATTGTACATTTGTTTGAATGGGAGAACAATTTGTGCATTGTTTTATAAGCACTTGATAGATCTTTCATGGTTAATTTGGAACTTGTTCTGGAAAATGTCTTGAATCTCATTGTCATTCAATGAAATGTTTTTAAAATCTGTATGACCCCTGTATGTCATTAAATGACATGTTCAAAAATTCTGTATGTCATTAAATGACATGTTCAAAAATTCTGTATGTCATTAAATGACATGTTCAAAAATTCTGTATGTCATTAAATGACATGTTCAAAAATTCTGTATGTCATTAAATGACATGTTCAAAAATTCTGTATGTCATTAAATGACATGTTCTAAAATTCTGTATGTCATTAAATGACATGTTCTAAAATTCTGTATGTCATTAAATGACATGTTCTAAAATTCTGTATGTCATTAAATGACATGTTCTAAAATTCTGTATGTCATTAAATGACATGTTCTAAAATTCTGTATGTCATTAAATGACATGTTCAAAAATTCTGTATGTCATTAAATGACATGTTCTAAAATTCTGTATGTCATTAAATGACATGTTCAAAAATTCTGTATGTCATTAAATGACATGTTCAAAAATTCTGTATGTCATTAAATGACATGTTCAAAAATTGTGGATGTCATTAAATGACATGTTCTAAAATTCTGTATGTCATTAAATGACATGTTCTAAAAATGCTTTCAGCCCCAAGGTCTCAAGTGACCATCAACTCCCCCATGGCCAGTCCAGCCTCCACACCTTCCCCCTCTCCTGGCCTCATTCATCAAGCTCAGAGTCCAGGTCAAGGCCATTACAGTAAGTCATCTAGGGGTGTCATCTAGGGGGTGTCATCTAGGGGGTGTCATCTAGGGGTGTCATCTAGGGGGTGTCATCTAGGGGGTGTCATCTAGGTGATGTCATTACAGTAAGTCATCTAGGTGATGTCATTACAGTAAGTCATCTAGGTGATGTCATTACAGTAAGTCATCTAGGTGATGTCATTACAGTAAGTCATCTAGGTGATGTCATTACAGTAAGTCATCTAGGTGATGTCATTACAGTAAGTCATCTAGGTGATGTCATTACAGTAAGTCATCTAGGTGATGTCATTACAGTAAGTCATCTAGGGGGTGTCATTACAGTAAGTCATCTAGGTGATGTCATTACAGTAAGTCATCTAGGTGATGTCATTACAGTAAGTCATCTAGGATTGTTATTACATTAGAGTAAGTCATCTAGGTGTTAGAGTGTTTCTCTGACAAACAGATCTTGTAAGCGGGGGATTTTAAAAAGTGTGTGACCTGGTATAAAGAGAATGTTCCATTGACAGGCCAGCAGCATGTATCCAGTCCCAGCCACCCTCGAGTGCCACCAGTATCAGATCTGCAACAGCATCACTACTCTCAACACCCACAGCAGCAGACCTTGAATGAGGAGACAAAAGGCTCCCCAGCACGGGGCAAAAAGCTGCCCAAAAAGGTGAAGACTGTAAATTAGATGATGTTTGCAGGTGCGCATGATGTCAGACTGTAAATTAGATGATGTTTGCAGGTGCGCATGATGTCAGACTGTAAATTAGATGATGTTTGCAGGTGTGCATGATGTCAGACTGTAAATTAGATGATGTTTGCAGGTGCGCATGATGTCAGACTGTAAATTAGATGATGTTTGCAGGTGCGCATGATGTCAGACTGTAAATTAGATGATGTTTGCAGGTGCGCATGATGTCAGACTGTAAATTAGATGATGTTTGCAGGTGCGCATGATGTCAGGCTGTAAATAAGATGTTTGCAGGTGTGCATGATGTCAGACTGTAAATTAGATGATGTTTGCAGGTGTGCATGATGTCAGGCTGTAAATTAGATGATGTGCATGATGTCAGACTGTAAATTAGATGATGTTTGCAGGTGCGCATGATGTCAGACTGTAAATTAGATGATGTGCATGATGTCAGACTGTAAATTAGATGATGTTTGCAGGTGCGCATGATGTCAGACTGTAAATTAGATGATGTTTGCAGGTGCGCATGATGTCAGACTGTAAATTAGATGATGTGCATGATGTCAGACTGTAAATTAGATTATGTTTGCAGGTGCGCATGATGTCAGACTGTAAATTAGATGATGTGCATGATGTCAGGCTGTAAATAAGATGATGTTTGCAGGTGCGCATGATGTCACCAGACTCTGGAAGTTCCTCCAGCCAACATGGACAACAGGACTACCAGCAGCAGTATGGAGGGGTCTCCAACACCATGGCCCAGGGATCACCCCAGCTCCACCCCACAGGGGGGTCACAGGATATCCTCTCACCCTCTGGCCAGGTACTGTCACATGACATGCGTGTCACATGACCAGATCATGGCATGTGTCATCATGTAGAATGTAGTGTAATGAGATGTCCAGAATGTAGCCTAACGATATGTACAGAATGTAGTGTAACAAGATGTACAGAATGTAGTGTAACAAGATGTACAGAATGTAGTGTAACGAGATGTACAGAATGTAGTGTAACAAGATGTACAGAATGTAGTGTAATGAGATGTACAGAATGTAAAGAGATGTACAGAATGTAGTGTAACGAGATGTACAGAATGTAAAGAGATGTACAGAATGTAGTGTAACAAGATGTACAGAATGTAGCGTAACAAGATGTACAGAATGTAGCCTAATGAGATATACAGAATGTAAAGAGATGTACTAACTTGCCTGTATCCCCAGCAGACCAAACACAAGCACAAGCCCCCACCACTGAACGTACCTCTACATGTCCAGGCTCCCAGTGCCACCAACTCTCCCACTGTTGCCTGCAGTCCCAGGAAAAGTATCATTAAAAAATCTAAGGAGGATGCCATGGACAGGTCAGTCAGCTGTTGCATTTGATAGGGTACAAGCATTGGAGGGATTGATAGGGTACAAGCATTGGAGGGATTGATAGGGTACAAGCATTGGAGGGATTGATAGGGTACACATATTGGAGGGATTGATAGGGTACACGCATTGTAGGGATTGATATGGTACAAGCATTGTAGGGATTGGTAGGGTACAAGCATTGTAGGGATTGGTAGGGTACAAGCATTGTAGGGATTGATAGGGTACATGCATTGTAGGGATTGATAGAGTACATGCATTGTAGGGATTGATAGGGTACAAGCATTGTAGGGATTGATAGGGTACAAGCGTTGTAGGGATTGATAGGGTACATGCATTGTAGGGATTGATAGGGTACATGCATTGTAGGGATTGATAGGGTACAAGCATTGTAGGGATTGATATGTACCATGATTAGACTGATTGATAGAGTACCATGCTTGTATTGATAGAGTACCATGCTTGTATCGATAGAGTACTGCTTGATGTGGACTTTAAGAAACACTTTGAGAGTCTGCCCAAGTTTGTTCCAGAAGAATCTGCTGCCACCACCCCCCTGCCTCAGTCCCCAAGGGGCATCATCACAGGCTACAAACAGAAAATTTCCAACTTAGGTAGGGACTACCATTTTACCTTCCTCTGATCACTCCTAGGTGATAGTGACCTACAATAGTTTTTTATCAGCGCTGCCAACGTGTTTCTGTGCTGCTTACTTGTATGGTGTTGTCAATAATTTTCTCATTTTACCACCAAATTTACAGTGTTGTGCTACAGTTCTAGATTTACCACCAAATTTACAGTGTTGTGCTACAGTTCTAGATTTACCACCAAATTTACAGTGTTGTGCTACAGTTCTAGATTTACCACCAAATTTACAGTGTTGTGCTACAGTTCTAGATTTACCACCAAATTTACAGTGTTGTGCTACAGTTCTAGATTTACCACCAAATTTACAGTGTTGTGCTACAGTTCTAGATTTACCACCAAATTTACAGTGTTGTGCTACAGTTCTAGATTTACCACCAAATTTACAGTGTTGTGCTACAGTTCTAGATTTACCACCAAATTTACAGTGTTGTGCTACAGTTCTAGATTTACCACCAAATTTACAGTGTTGTGCTACAGTTCTAGATTTTTACCACCAAATTTACAGTGTTGTGCTACAGTTCTAGATTTACCACCAAATTTACAGTGTTGTGCTACAGTTCTGATTTTACCACCAAATTTACAGTGTTGTGCTACAGTTCTAGATTTACCACCAAATTTACAGTGTTGTGCTACAGTTCTAGATTTACCACCAAATTTACAGAGTTGTGCTACAGTTCTAGATTTACCACCAAATTTACAGTGTTGTGCTACAGTTCTAGATTTACCACCAAATTTACAGTGTTGTGCTACAGTTCTAGATTTACCACCAAATTTACAGTGTTGTGCTACAGTTCTAGATTTACCACCAAATTTACAGTGTTGTGCTACAGTTCTAGATTTGCCTGCCATAAATGTTTCAAATATAGCTTCATTGAAATAAGAATTTATTTTCTGGTAGCTATTGTTTCCTGTTCCAGAAGTTTACCTTCAGCTCATTAAAGTTTCATCTGTCTCATTACCTTTAATTTAAATGTCTCCCAAAGCACTCCTTCCACTATGTCAACAGTAAATAAAGAAATATCTGCTCCGTGATAATCAATAATATAAAGTTAGATTTGTGTTTGATCTCTAATAAATGAGGTAACATTTTGCTGTTCCCCTCCAGCAAAAGGTGAAGACAGTGACCCCAGCAAGCAGTCCAGCGAGTCGGAAACACCTACACCCAAAACTCCCAAGAGTAGCCGACCAGATGACCGGCGCTTCTTTGGGGAAAATTTTAATCTGGACCTGGCTAATACAAATCCCAAAATTTTTGGTGAGTAACTAGGGTCAAGGGTCAAATTATCTTACAGTAGTTAGCCCATAGACTGGTGCGTGCAGGTAGTTGTTAGCCCATAGACTGGTGCGTGCAGGTAGTTGTTAGCCCATAGACTGGTGCGTGCAGCTTGTTGGTGCTGGGGTGAAAGGTCACACTGAAAATTGAACCTAACTTATATGTCTGTAGGCTTGTTTTGGTGACAAGACAAAATATCTCGAGACAAATCATCCCAGGACAAATGATCTCAGACAAAATATCCAGACAAAAGATCTCACGGACAAAATATCTCAGGACATAATATATCAGGACAAATGATACCATGGACAAATGATCTCAGACAAAATATCTCACGGCAAAATATTTATTTTATTTAGGAGCATTTTAGTCAATTTTTATTTTAAAATTAGGTGATTTTTATTTTGTATTTTTTATACAAATAGTACCATTAATTGTGAAATATACTAAATGAATGAGTAAAACTACATTTTTTAAAAAGATAGCATTTTAAATGAATTTTATAGGACGTGAAAATGCATAAAAAAGCTAAAATGACGTAAGCCTTAGTCACATTAATGTTCAAAACACATGAAATAGTTTTCAAAAATGTGATTAGGTCACCTGGATTGTAATAGAAAAACTATGATTTTAGTGCATCATCAACACAAATGTTGCTGGCTGTTGTCCAGTGTAAATCTGACATCTTAAAAGTGTGGATGCCTGTCAGCAATTTAACAAAAGAGGCCATAGCTGGGTAATAACCAGTAATACTGCTTTGTTGGCATGCACACTATGATTAACTTTGCTCCGCAATGACCATGAGATATTTTGTCTGAGATCATTTGTCATGGAACCCTTGTTTCTTTAGCTCGACTAGTCTAAAACCATTGTTGTCCAACAAAAACTAAACTATAACAAGAGAATCACACAAGATCTTGACCAGACATAGAGCTAGTAATGAAGAAATGTTTTGTTGCCAGAGTTTGAAGGTGATCCAAATTCTCCTCGCACACCAAAGACACCCAGTTCACCTGGGGCCTTCTCCAATAGACGAATGCTTGACCAGAGACGCCAGCTTGTCATGCAGCTTTTTCAGGAACATGGACTTTACCCTTCAAGTAACTTTTTTTAATTGAATTTTATGCTCTTTTACACTGTCTTTTCTTATTAAAACCTACTTGTCATTTGGCGTACAGTTTTAAAAACAATTTTCCCTGATCAGGTCAAGCAACGGTTGCATTCCAAAACAAATACCAAGAAATATTTCCCAATAAAAGCTGCCTGCAGCTGAAGATCAGGGAGGTGAGGCAGAAAATGATGGCCTTCCACCAGGTGAGTCCAGTGATAGTGTTTGAACTTGGACAGATTATTTATGGTGACCCTAGTTAAAGGGTTAATTTATGGTGACCCTAGTTAAAAGGTTAATTTATGGTGACCCTAGTTAAAAGGTTAATTTATGGTGACCCTAGTTAAAGGGTTAATTTATGGTGACCCTAGTTAAAAGGTTAATTTATGGTGACCCTAGTTAAAAGGTTAATTTATGGTGACCCTAGTTAAAGGGTTAATTTATGGTGACCCTAGTTAAAAGGTTAATTTATGGTGACACTAGTTGGGCTACAGGACATTACCCACCCACCCGGACATTTCACCCCTGCCAATTACACCCCACCCCAGCCACTAATATAGAAACCTGATTTTAACCCCCAACTCTATACCAATATATTACCTTAATCCTAACCTTAAGACAAAGACGAAAAACCTAAGAATCCACCCAAAAATAAAACCAAACCCAACTCTAGATATTGATTTAAGCCTAACCCTGATCCTAACCCTAGCGCTAATCTAGACCTAGACCTAAACCCTAGCTGAACCTTAAGCTATGACCGGGGGGGGGGGGTTGGTTTAAAGTCCTATTTCCCACTAGTTCAAGGGTTAATTAATGGTGACGCTAGTTGAACGGTTTACTGTACCCTCATGTCATACAAGTTAGCCATTACTGTACCCTCATGTCATACAAGTTAGCCATTACTGTACCCTCATGTCATACAAGTTAGCCATTACTGTACCCTCATGTCATACAAGTTAGCCATTACTGTACCCTCATGTCATACAAGTTAGCCATTACTGTACCCTCATGTCATACAAGTTAGCCATTAGTGTACCCTCATGTCATACAAGTTAGCAATTAGAGTATATGTCCACAGGGTACACCCAAAACACCAACGACGCCATCAGCTGCATCCTCCTCGTCATCATCATTGATGGAAGTGCCAGAGCCATCCAGATCTTCCCAAGCCTCCACACCTCTGTCTACCACCCCCTCGTCTCACTCCACTCTAGCGCCGTCTGCTGGCCAGACGGGCGCGACGCTGTCAGTCCCCAGCAGTAGCCAATCAACCGTGGAGGTTGGCCGGAGGACGTCCCCACTGGCCAGGTCACCCCTGGCCAAGTCACCACTCACCTTCAATAGTGTGCAGTAGCTCAGAGATTTTGTTTGAAGTTCTGGGTACTTTATCTTTGAAGGCAGGACTTGCTTTATGTTGATGTGTAAGTTAGCTGGCTTCATGAGTTGTTTTACCACACCTAATGGTTGCTGTTGTTCACCAAATGTGATTTTCTTTTTTCAACATTTTTGCCATATTTTTAGTTCTCCTTGTTTTATTAAATTTTTACATGTGAGGTCTATAAAAATGTCATGCAAATAAAATAGAATGTTTGATAATATAATGAATGGGTCGGTAAAAAATAGATAATAGTTGCGCAACTTGATCATTTGTATGGCTAGCTTCATTTGAATGGCTGAGTTTTTGTCTAAATGTGTTGAAATGGTGCATAATTAGTAGCTTCTAACAAGGTTATTCAAATGATTGACAAATAAAGACATGTATGGTGAGTTAGCAGGTTGTCACTAACACAGACAAACCCTGTAACACGACATGAACCCTGTAACACAGACATGAACCCTGTAACACAACAGACATGAACCCTGTAACACAGACATGAACCCTGTAACACAACATACATGAACCCTGTAACACAACAGACATGAACCCTGTAACACAAACATGAACCCTGTAACACAGACATGAACCCTGTAACACGACATGAACCCTGTAACACAGACATGAACCCTGTAACACAACAGACATGAACCCTGTAACACAGACATGAACCCTGTAACACAACATACATGAACCCTGTAACACAACATACATGAACCCTGTAACACAACAGACATGAACCCTGTAACACAACAGACATGAACCCTGTAACACCACAGACATGAACCCTGTAACACAAACATGAACCCTGTAACACAGACATGAACCCTGTAACACGACATGAACCCTGTAACACAAACATGAACCCTGTAACACGACATGAACCCTGTAACACGACATGAACCCTGTAACACAACAGACACGAACCCTGTAACACCACAGACATGAACCCTGTAACACAAACATGAACCCTGTAACACCACAGACACGAACCCTGTAACACAACAGACACAAACCCTGTAACACCACAGACACGAACCCTGTAACACAGACATGAACCCTGTAACACCACAGACACGAACCCTGTAACACAGACATGAACCCTGTAACACCACAGACACGAACCCTGTAACACCAGACACGAACCCTGTAACACCACAGACATGAACCCTGTAACACCACAGACACGAACCCTGTAACACCACAGACACGAACCCTGTAACACAGACATGAACCCTGTAACACCACAGACACGAACCCTGTAACACAACAGACACGAACCCTGTAACACAGACATGAACCCTGTAACACAGACAAACCCTGTAACACCACATACATGAACCCTGTAACACAAACCCTGTAACCAATGGAAAAATTGTAAACAAATATTGTTTATTTAGTCATAATAAGTTTGGTAGTAGCTTCTGTATCATCCATTGATTTGAATGTTTGAATTTGTCCATTATTTGTCTCCTTAGAAAAAATTATCTAAAGGGAATAATTTGAATGATTTGTTTGATATGAGCCAGTCACTGTACAATCATGGCCCCATGAAGTGTGGGTCAGCTAAAGATCTACACCATTCAGGTCAATTTCAGCACAATGGCGTTAAAGTTGAGACCTAGCCCCATGAAGTGTGGGTCAGGTGAATGTGTAGACTATTGTTGACTCTGTACAAATCCTTGTCTTTCCTGTACATGCAGGTCACGTCTGTTTTACTTAGATCACTGTGTCACTCTCCACGTCTTTACTTTTGGACACAAGGGGTATATCCTTTGGAGGGAATCTCTTTATTACAATTCAGACGAGAAATAACACAATGTTGAGAAATGCTTTTGGAAATGTAGGCATGTCATTTTTTTTTCTCAGCTTGGAATTCATTTGCAATGTGCTGTAATATTTGTATCTGACAGAAAAGTGGGTGTGATTATGTAAATTGAGTGAAAACTAGCCCCGCCTTGTCTAATTTGAACACCCTAGTTCCTTGTGTCTACACCCCTCTCTTTAGTTGTTAATCAAACTATATTGTGATAAAAATACCCCAAATTTTCTTCTATATGTAAATATAATATATATATATATAAATACAATTATATCAGATGTTAAAATATTTATTGTAAATAAATTGTTTTTGTCCATGCTTTAGGATACTGGCATTATTTTCTAATGATTGTAACCTGCATTCAACTACAGCAGTTTTAAATCTAATGATTGTAACCTGCATTAAACTACAGCAGTTTGAAATCTAATGATTGTAACCTGCATTAAACTACAGCAGTTTGAAATCTGCGCGCAGGACTAAAACATGATGTACTTTTAAGTTTTCTTTTAGCATTGTTTTGTAGGAACTTGTTATCGCACTTACTGTTGTATTTTTCCATATGAACAAGTGAAATTTTTAGTATTGCTTGCAATTTGAAATGGAATGTCAATGTTTGGCAGGAACTGTCAAAGGGCTGTCTGCATAAGTTTATATTTGTCAAGAGCTTCTCAAATCCTGTTTGCACCATAATTGTAGCAACATTTTGAACTGACATGTTTTCACTTTTTTGTGATATGTTTTGTAGAGCACCTGTTAACTCTTATAATAAGACTGCATTTTGTATCACCACATTGCCCTCATGTTTCACTCAATCATCTTGTCACCCCCCCCCCCCCCCCCTCCTATGCTTCACTCAATCTTGTCATCCCCCTCCCCCCTCCTCCTATGTTTCACTCAATCATTCTGTCATCTCCCCCCTCCTCCTATGCTTCACTCAATCATTCTGTCATCCCCCCCCCCCCTCCTCCTATGCTTCACTCAATCATTCTGTCATCCCCCCCTCCTCCTATGCTTCACTCAATCATTCTGTCATCCCCCCCCTCCTCCTATGCTTCACTCAATCATTCTGTCATCCCCCCCCCTCCTCCTATGCTTCACTCAATCATTCTGTCATCCCCCCCCCCCTCCTCCTATGCTTCACTCAATCATTCTGTCATCCCCCCCCTCCTCCTATGCTTCACTCAATCATTCTGTCATCCCCCCCCCCTCCTCCTATGCTTCACTCAATCATTCTGTCATCCCCCCCCCCCTCCTCCTATGCTTCACTCAATCATTCTGTCATCCCCCCCCCCTCCTCCTATGCTTCACTCAATCATTCTGTCCCCCCACTCCTCTTATGCTCCGCTCAATCACCTCTACACCCCTCCACCCACCCCCCACTTACACATTCTCACCCATCTTTTTTCTTCTTCCCCCCCCCCCCCCCCCGCCTCCATGCTTCACTTCATTATCATCTGGCTCTGGTTGTGAATATCTCAAGATATCCTACATTGCAGCTACTGTTTCGATGTTTTAGAAGTATTTCAACGATTTTTAACATTTTGAAGAAAAGCCAAGATTTGAAATGTTTGTCATAAGAACTGGATATCTGTTCCCTGTCCTCATCAGTGCTTGCAGTGTCTTGTCTACACAGACTTTCTAACAGGAACACTGTCCTGATGTATAGGTTTTATTGTACCGTCTACACATCTTACACAATGCACCCTTCAGGTTTGATAAAGGGGAACCAGTCACTTTGTGCTGCTCCCCCTGGGAATTTGTGCCCCTTTAGATCTGTGGACTTTTTAAAGAAAAAGAAGTAATAGGTGTAAGTTTAACCTCCTCCCCTTAACTGATCTTCATTAGAAGAAATTCCTATTATTGTCTATGCAACTCACAGGATGCTAGACCCATTTCTGTGAGTTGTTGGTTCTAGAGAGTTGAAAGGTTAGCCACAAGCACTGATCCTGTTTGCCTTGCCCTAGTGTTATCTCACATGGCGTCTGCCAGAAATGTCACATTTTTAAACTTTTACTGTAGACCGCCAGACTCATGTGTGAGGACAACTTGATCCACCTGCTTCAAATACTTCACTCCTCAACTACCATATATAGGCGGCTTGGTTTTTTTTATTTCTACAAGAACAAAATCTTCATTGAATCTTAAATCTCAATTAATAAAAAACTCCCCCTCCCCTGATAGCAAGCCTCCCCTGACAGCAAGCTCCCCCTCCCCTGACAGCAAGCCCCCCTCTCCCCTGACCGCCAGCCTCCACTTGAAAATGTGCTATTTCTGCAAGCTACCTGTTGCAAGTGTCGACACAACGATACAGATTTCTTATTTTTCTACATTTCTCTTCAAATCAGATTTGAACACTTGAATTTACAGATTTTTTTTTAGTTTTGTCCAAATCTATTTTTCCACAATGTACCTTAGAAAGTAAGAAATATTTTGTGTGTGGTTGAACAGAACTTTCAGGAATTTGTGTGTCAGCCTTATCATATGGATGCAATAGACGATTTTAATGTCTTTCAAGCTAGGTCCAATGGTGTGTACAAAATCTATGCTGTTATATGTGGTATGTTGCTTACATCCTGGGGTGTATGTTGGTAGGTCTAACATAAACATGCTGTTTCTGTCACCGGATGCCATAGTTTGTCTCAACAAGGGAGGTAACTTTAAATACAATTTTCTAACCTGTGAAAAATGTTTGAATATTTTTCTACCCTGGCAAAAGTTCTAAAAGAGTTGGTCAAATGTTCCTTGAGCAGGGGGACCTCATCCCCATGTTTAAACTAGGTCAGCTAGCTATGGCTGTGTGTGTGGATAGTCAGCTAGCTATGGCTGTGTGTGTGGATAGTCAGCTAGCTATGGCTGTATGTGTGGATAGTCAGCTAGCTATGGCTGTATGTGTGGATAGTCAGCTAGCTATGGCTGTATGTGTGGATAGTCAGCTAGCTATGGCTGTGTGTTTCTCTCAAGACTAGCTGTTATTTCAAATACACCAAGTTGTTGTATGCCTGAATGAGTTGACATGACAGCCAGACATAAATACAACACTAGTTCCTTTTTGTTGGGCTCAAGTTGACAGGTCTAGATTTTAACTTTTCAAGTAAGTCTTAATGATTTATAAGAAATGTTCATGCTAATAGAATTTTTTTTCTTCTCCTCATAGTGAAAATTTAGGTAATTTTTAATTAAAAAAAAAAGACATTAATGATGTATCTCTCTAGCACGCTTTAGGCAACACACACACATTTGTAGCTGACTGGGCTGCATGTGATTTTCTGACCAAAATGTTGAATTTTTGTCTTGTACTTGACATTGTTGTTATACATGAAATCAATTAAAGAAATCATTTCTCTATCTACCATTTGTTTTAATTTTTTTTTTGGCTCTTCTTACCACCCTCCTCCCCTCTTTTAGTCACCTACACCCCCCCCCCCCCCCTCTCCATACACACACCACATTGCATTTTGAAATTGATTTCTTGCAATTAATTAATTGAAATATGTGAAACAACCTACAAAAATGCTTTAAAATATACCCAAGTGTGGCCTTACATCTGAAAACCTCCCACATTTCCAGGAGTGAGTTTTAGTTAGAATGGATGACACCCCTCCTCACACACTTTAGACACCCCCTCCTCACACACTTTAAACCTAAATTTTAACTTTTTTTAACACAAAATGGTCCTGTTTAGAATTGGTGTCACCTCATTCTCCATATTATTTTACTATTTTTATTCTAAAGAAACCTTGTTAGTAAATCTGGTATCACTCCCTAAATGGTGTCACTCAGTGAAGACCGCACACCCGCCTTGTGTGACGCCACTTCCAAAAAGTACCATAAAAATGTGGACATTAAAATTGGAAAATACAAGGCAAAACCATTAATTGTAAGCATGAAATCCATTGGCCAAATATTTTCCAATGAAAATACGGAAGTTTTTAGATCTAAGGACGCTTCCGTTTAAACTTGTTTTGCCTGGACTCCTAGATCTAGATTCTAAATCTAGATCTAGATGTATTATTAATGTGAAGTTTAGAGTGCAATGGCAGGGCAGGTTTTAAATGTGGGAATAGGATTGTTTATAATTGCATTTATTTGGGTATTAGCTCTCTTAATATGTATTGCCTTTTCTAGATCACCAACGAAAACCGCGTAAGTAACTTAGTACATTAGTACTAAATCTAGATCTAGAATCTAGATCTAGATCTAGATCTAGATCTAGAAATTCTACTTTCTAGACTAGAATCTACTAGATCTAGATCTAGTAAATCTACTACAGTACTCACTAGTCTAGTACTAGACTAAGAGTAGATAGATCTAGATTCTAACTACTACAGTTGAGGGTAAAAATTTAGAGAAAACCCTTGATATTTCATAGTATCCGCCGCCAACCAATCAAACGCGCGCTTTCAACGCGTTTTGGTTGGCGGCTGACGTCACGATGACGTCACGCGACCCGTAAACACGGCGTTTTTGGAGCTAAAAAGGGCCGAAAAAGCCATTTTTTCTACGTGTAGTTCGGATTTTTTTACGTTTTTTAAAATGGGCCCGAAAATGACCCTTTTTAGAAATGGACATAGCCATTTTTTCGAAGAATTAATTCAAAAAAGGGCTGTTTTGAGTTATGTTTCGATGTAAACAAAGGCCCATGTCAACACGTGTCAAACCACGTGAAGGCACCCGATCGACGATTTCGGTCACGCATGAGTGGTTTTCGTACGTTCTCGTGAACTAAATACCAGTTTCTTGACAACAAATTGGAAAACGACAATTTCGTGAAAATAACGGCCCTAGAGGAATGGCTTTTGAAGATTATTAAATAAAAATCGATGTATTGGCTACATGTGTTGATTCTAAAGTTGTCTATAATTGACTAGTAGGGCATGCTGAAACAACGGCCTTAGGGCGCCGTGTAGTGTGTAGTTTCGCTAAATGTAAATTAATCAGCCCGGCCGCAGATCGACCGCAAACTGTTAAATTGGTTGAATGTGAAAAGCATACTACTTACAAATTACTTTTGAATATTCACATCACACAAAATAATCGCAAAGAAAGCACAAAATAAAATCCGTTAGAAAAGCATCACCAGGAAATTTGAAAACCACAGTATGTCAACCTTAACCAGCCATCTTTGGCTCGATCTAGAGGTCATTCTTTAGCCTACACGGCCTACACATGTGCCTTGCCAATAAATTTAGTTTCTGATGGTACACGACATTAGATCAATATATTAATTAACAAACTAACTGAATTCCAACATACTATCACTCTAATCCTAAAATGAAACAGAATTTGAAGCACAATGATCTAACGAATAAATCCCACTCTAAGTAAGTGTCGCAGCTCTAATCCTGGATACAACCGTAGTGTGTAGTCGTGTTGTGAGTAAACTTGCACGAGATAAAACACCGACCTAGACCTTCCTGATGTTGTGTATGGCCTCAAAGTGAAATGCTGGGAGTAGGGGAGGGGAATTTAACAGCAGAATATTTTTTTTCAGTAGTTACGTCACCAGTAGTTCACGCATCCTAACGGGGTTGAAAGTGTAACTTTATATTCAACTAGGCAAAAGGTGGAGGGTGGTGTCTTTCTAGTCGAAGAATACGGGGAAGCCGGCATTTGAAGCCGGCATTTCATTATTGTCATTGCTATTGAGTACAACCCTTTATTCTAGTTAAATGCATGACTAGGCTACTCATTACAAAATCTAAAAAATGTCGTTGTGCTGCCATGCAAAAGTAGCCTAATATTTCTACTGAATGGGGTAGGTATTTGACTTTGTTTATTTAAATGCAGATACCATTAGCCTAAACATATTTGGATGCACATTTCAGTTATATCGTAAGGATTAATTTTATAATACAATGCATATATTCTGACAGTCCTTCAAGTATTAGTAGTTATTGCCTATTGGACTATTCATAACTTGTATTTCAAAGATTTATCCCAATAGTTTACTGTTAATAATGTAAACTGAGCTTGACGAGACTCCCATCGCCAAGCAATCGTATGATGATAGACCCAGCAAGCATCACTCGTTATATTCGACAACATGGCTATACCAGTCCTTGATTTTCATTACTGCCTTGAAACGCCTAGTTCTTGGTTTAAAAAAAAAACCTCCCCCCCCCCCCCCCCCCCCACCCCTTCCCGCTTGCGCCGACGTCATCATAGGCCAATACCACGATGCATTTTTTTTCACCGAGTATAACACACACTCCTCTCCCCCTCACAGCAAGCGCCAACAACGGTCACCCAAGGCCCAAGGCCAATAACACGCACCACGGTGGATTTTTTTTTCAATGAGTATATTATACCCTACCCACCCGCCGCCTTACAGCATACCGCTAGTCTTTACAAACGGGGTTAAAAGTTTAACTTTGAGTTCAATAAGGGGAGAGGATGGTATTGAAACAACGATGTTCTTTAATATGTTTAATAGTACAAATACATAGTAAAAAAATATACTTACCTACTTCTATAGCATCATACATAATTTTATAATTAGCAAATTAATTAATTAATTAATTAAATATATCTAATGATAATGAAGGGAGATAGTTTATTTTGGTTAAGGCACGACACACAACACTATGCGTGCGTGGTATGTGGCCTGACCGACCGAAAGGAGATTGTTTATATTATTGTTTTGAGTTTATATTTAACTCAATGCAACGAGCCCGCCGGTTGGTTGAGGCCACGCCGGGGGGACGATCTGTCCGGGATTCAAAGGGTCGATTCTAAATATCATCCCAGTTGAGTACTACTACTAGATCTACTATTAGAGTCTAGAGATCTAGAATCCAACTTTTTCTAACTAAAGTTTACTAAAACTAAAGTATCTAGATCTAGAATCTAACTAATCTAGATTTAGAGTCTACTCTTAGTGTTAGATCTACTGAATTCTGAACTGTAACTGCTACACTCAACAACACTCAGCCTGACTCAGCTACTAGATTTAACTAGATCTAAGATCTAGATCTAAGTAGTACTAGTACTATTAACCTAATAAGTTAATGAACTTAATAATCTAGAGTAGATCTAGATCCTAAAGTTTAAAGTAAAGTCAAATGGAGGCAACCAAGTTGACGAGAATCCTTCCAACATGTTGTTGACATGGAATAAAAACGTGCTTTTTTTAGATTTAGCAAACAAAGCGACCGTACAAATAATAAAAATAAAGACTTAGGCCTAAGGCCTAAAATAATACTAAAATTAATTCAGAAATCAAATAAAATAGGCCTAGTATAGACCTAGGCTTATTTAGAATCAATTCAATGCTATAAAAAATAAAAGTTGCAAATCCAGAGAACTTGAAAATAATTTGTTGAGTTCAAGGCTACATTAAAAAAAACCCATTTCTATTTATTTTTATCAAGCCTAAGTTATAACTGGATGTTTCATTTTCGTAAGACAAATATTGATTGGCTGTACTGTACAGGAACTCAGTGATCGATACTAAATCTAGATCTATTTGTTTACAAAACTTTGCAAATAAAGATTTTAAATAACAATGCAAATTTAAACCCCATGACCTAGTTTTCCTTTTTTTTTGCTTACAATGTGTACAAAAAAATTCATGGCAGCCTATCGAATAGCAGGATGCCATTGTTTATGTCGCCATTACACATGAAAACCAAATTGTTTTTGCTTTTTTTTTTTAATTTTTATTTAATCTAACTAGAATTAGAATCTTTAGGCTTAAGTACTAAACTAAAGGGTAATATATTATTTTAGGTAGGCTACGTAAAATCAACCAAGGCAAGTTATGTGAAAAAAAAGTGAATCAATAATTAAATATTAGCATTTATTTCACATTTTCAGGAGGATTTATGTTTTGAAATTTACAAAAATGTTTCTAAGTTTCATTCATGTAGATTCTACCTGTTTTTAAACAGTCGTATTAGTCCTAACACTTTTCAGTTATAAATAAAGCCTACCGAAGTTTTCATCAGGTGCGACCAAGCTCATTTGCTTACTTTATTTGTAGGCATTATGTTGAAAATCTCTAGAAAAAACTAGATCTATCTAGCTAGCACACTAGTTAAACAAGTCGATTTTGCAAATATTAACTTTCTGTGCAAAGTCATTATAACTGGAAAAAAATTCCAAAGTCAGGTTCAGCTAATGAAGAAAAAACTATTAGGCCTGACCTGATTTCAAGGGTGGATTTCTCGATTATTTTAAATAAAACTTGATAGGCGTATTAAAATATCTTAGAAATGAATTTAGATAGCTAAAATTTAACACAATCAATATAAAAAAAAATTAATGTATAGTATTGTATAAGACTTGGATTGGCAGATAGTAGTGGTAGTAAAAAAAAATCAAACTATATTTTAGTGTTTTATGGCAATAATTGTACATAATTAACATCATGTTAATAACATGCCATGCTTTTTAAATTGACAGAGGTATACCATGTTACAAAAAATGCGATTTTAACTAATAATTTATATTCTTTTTTTTATGACATGACATAACTAACAAATCTAGCCAAATAATTGGATTTTGGCGTGACACGCATGTTCCAGCACTTTGTTTTCGGCAAAAAGATTATAATAAAATGGCATTATCGGGGGGGGGGGGGTGTCATACTTCTAGCATAGTGACCACACTTACGGACCTGAGAATTATTCACAGATGTTGTCATGTATATAAAGCTAAGACTCTGAACCGTTGCTTAATCATATGCTGGTTAACATTAGAAGCGTAGTTTAGAAGCTACTTTCACCAAAGCGCTGCTTGCGAGATAAAGAAATTAGGTCTAAAGTACACCTTACTATTCTTGATTAACAGACTAAATTAGAAACAGGTAATTCCGATTACTAAAATTAACGATGGCTTCAAAATCATTGGTTTTATCCCTCTACCCCTTAATGAAAATGAAACCGCGCCACCATCTTAGTAAATCACTTCGAGAGCGTGCGCAGTGAGATAAAATAAACAAACAAACCCAGAAGCTGTGAACCCAATGGCCTATTAACAGCCATCCTGTTTTTTGGTTTATTGGTATAATTTTAGAGATTCAGAGGAAACCACTCATCTAATTTACAGATGGCCACTGTTTATATAGCAAATCTTGCTCACAAACACTGCTGTTTAAAATTAATTTCTAGCCTATATTGTGATTTTGGTTTATTATTCAGTCATGTATTATATTTGACACAAATATATCACAGTATACTTTTACACACCTAAAACAATAGATTATCAAAGTAAGTAAGTACTGAACTACTAATAAAAAAGTTTAGAGTAGTAGATCTAGTAGTAGTAGTACAGCTACTCAGTACCACAGTAGAATGTAGATGAACTTCTCTGGCCCAGCAAAAGATGAGCACACATGTAAAAATATGCTTTAGGCTTTTTTTTTATATTCTCATATATTTAGGCCTAGACGATGAACATAAGTTGATTTTATATCAGTCGAAAAATTTAAAAAAACCTAGTAGCTGCTAGGTAAAAGCTTCTTCTCCCATCGCTGTCTGGCCGGCAGAATATGCTTAACCCAATGACCTAAATAGCTGTGCACTGGACTCAAATTATTCTTTTATACGTGCACAATGAGATCATATTTATCTTTTTAACTTTTAACCTTAATCTTCTGACAAAACTATCTGAACCGTGTGCTCGAGCAGTTTCAGTTTAGACAGGTTGTCTGGGGTTCAGGGTTAATGGTATTGTTACGATTTATTGTATATCTGGCAAAGTTCTATTCTATGAGTATAGAATATTGCCTTACCTAAATCATCACAAAAGGCAGATAACTCCTTGTGAGGACTAATTAAAGAAAATCAGAATTCATTTGGTGGAATAACCAACTAATCCAAGAAATTAAAAGTAATCAACTCATCTGTTACATCCCATATGTTATAAAAATAAAAAGTGTAGTGGGATTTATTTTCAATTTGTTTAGTTTACTATTTAGAAGCACACCCAAAAAAATCAGTAATTATTGAGTCAAGTACAGTATTTTCTAAGCATACCTATGGGGTTAAAACTTAAGCTGTAGATATGATGCAACTGAAAAAATCCCCCCCCCCTCCCCCCATCATCACAGGATCAAGTGATATAAATGCCCCCCCCCCTCCCCCATCATCACAGGATCAAGTGATATAAATGCCCCCCCCCCTCCCCCATCATCACAGGATCAAGTGATATAAATGCCCCCCCCCCTCCCCCATCATCACAGGATCAAGTGATATAAATGCCCCCCCCCCCTCCCCCATCATCACAGGATCAAGTGATATAAATGCCCCCCCCCCCTCCCCCATTATCACAGGATCAAGTGATATAAATGCCCCCCCCCCCCTCCCCCATTATCACAGGATCAAGTGATATAAATGCCCCCCCCCTCCCCCATTATCACAGGATCAAGTGATATAAATGCCCCCCCCCCCCCCCTCCCCCATTATCACAGGATCAAGTGATATAAATGCCCCCCCCCCCCTCCCCCATTATCACAGGATCAAGTGATATAAATGCCCCCCCCCTCCCCCATTATCACAGGATCAAGTGATATAAATGCCCCCCCCCCCTCCCCCATTATCACAGGATCAAGTGATATAAATGCCCCCCCCCCTCCCCCATTATCACAGGATCAAGTGATATAAATGCCCCCCCCCCCCTCCCCCCATCATCACAGGATCAAGTGATATAAATGCCCCAGTCTGCAGTAATGACCCAATGATGTCTGTGTCGCAGATAATACTTGATGTGGTATTGTCAGATTTAAAGGTTGTTTTTTACTTCACATTTTGACACAATTGTAACCCAGCTTATTTCATCAAATTCTATTTTTAGCTCACTGGGCCCCCTTGCCATTTTGGTAGCCATCATCCTGACGATCATTTTGGTTTTCATACCAAGAGAGCTTCAAACACCATCAGCAGAGGAACAGTATGTGGTAGGCAAGACTTTATTGATGTTTAGGGGCAGTATGAATGTGGTAGGCAAGATTTGATTGATGTTTAGGGGCATTATGTGGTAGGCAAGATTTGATTGATGTTTAGGGGCATTATGTGGTAGGCAAGATTTGATTGATGTTTAGGGGCATTATGTGGTAGGCAAGATTTTATTGATGTTTAGGGGCATTATGTGGTAGGCAAGATTTTATTGATGTTTAGGGGCATTAAGTGGTAGGCAAGACTTTATTGAAGTTTAGGGGCATTATGTGGTAGGCAAGATTTTATTGATGTTTAGGGGCAGTATGTGGTAGGCAAGATTTTTTTGATATTTAGGGGCAGTATGTGGTAGGCAAGATTTTATTGATGTTTATGGGCAGTATGTGGTAGGCAAGATTTGATTGATTTTTAGGGCAGTATGTGGTAGGCAAGATTTGATTAATTTTTAGGGCAGTATGTGGTAGGCAAGATTTTATTGATGTTTAGGGCAGTATGTGGTAGGCAAGACTTTATTGATGTTTAGGGCAGTATGTGGTAGGCAAGATTTTATTGATGTTTAGGGCAGTATGTGGTAGGCAAGACTTTATTGATGTTTAGGGCAGTATGTGGTAGGCAAGATTTGATTGATTTTTAGGGCATTATGTGGTAGGCAAGATTTTATTGATGTTTAGGGCAGTATGTGGTAGGCAAAATTTTATTGATGTTTAGGGCAGTATGTGGTAGGCAAAATTTTATTGATGTTTAGGGGCATTATGTGGTAGGCAAGATTTGATTGATTTTTAGGGCAGTATGTGGTAGGCAAGATTTTATTGATGTTTAGGGGCATTATGTGGTAGGCAAGATTTTATTGATGTTTAGGGGCAGTATGTGGTAGGCAAGATTTTATTGATGTTTAGGGGAAGTATGAAAGTGGTAGGCAAGATATGATTGATGTTTAGGGGTATTATGAAAGTGGTAGGCAAGATATGATTGATGTTTAGGGGCAGTATGTGGTAGGCAAGATTTTATTGATGTTTAGGGGCATTATGTGGTAGGCAAGATTTTATTGATGTTTAGGGCAGTATGTGGTAGGCAAGATTTGATTGATGTTTAGGGGCATTATGTGGTAGGCAAGATTTTATTGATGTTTAGGGGCATTAAGTGGTAGGCAAGATTTTATTGATGTTTAGGGGCATTATGTGGTAGGAAAGATTTTATTGATGTTTAGGGGCAGTATTATTTAACATGGCCAGCCTCTCAATGGTACTTCCACCAAAAATTGAAGAACAAATTTTGGTTTTCATTGAGTTGGAAATCATTGTTTTTTCAAGTGTTGCTCAGTTTAAAAAAAAGATAAACCAAGATTGATCTCCCCTAAACTTTCTCAAATATTCTAATATAACACTACGGGGGATGGCAACTCGGGACCTAGACAATATTTGTAATCCATTTTTAATTACTTAAACTTTTTATAAATGAATAGAATCTTGTAAAAATAATAATTGCTCACCAAGTGAACGCCAAATAAAATGTGCATAATAGTGTGGGATATTATTAGTACTTTATAAATTCACATGTGTTTTTTTTTTTGAGAAATCTGAAATAGCGTAAATTACTACTTCTGGTCAACGGAAGTTAGTCAAAATTGATAGAAGGATGAGAATTAGAACTTTTAATTACATGTAGAATTTCATTTATCTATCTGAAATAGTACTCAAGTTATAGGCTTTTGAAAAATTCAAAGTAGAAAAAGTTCCACTTTCGGTTATCGGAAATTGCTCAAAAGCTGATACGGATCTACGGTTTTAATATAATTTGAAATTTCATCAACCTAGCTGTAACGGTACTCTAGTTATCGTGTTTATAGACACACATATACACACACAGACATACGAACAAGATTGCAAAACTATGTTTTCTGAATCAGGGAGCCCTAAAACGTCGAGATTTGCAAAAATCACTATTTATTCTTTTTTGCACAATTACAAGACTTTCTCTATTCTTCGTATATACGAGAAAGTAAAAATACTGTTTTTGTCTTCCATAGATTTACGACTACAGTGTAGTGTACCGGTCTAGCCTGATCTCTGTTAAAAAAAAATACTGTTTTTGTCTTCCATAGATTTATGACTACAGTGTAGTGTACCGGTCTAGCCTGATCTCTGTTAAAAAAACAACTAAAATGCTGTTTTTGTCTTCCATAGATTTATGACTACAGTGTTGTGTACCGGTCTAGCCTGATCTCTGTTAAAAAAACAACTAAAATGCTGTTTTTGTCTTCCATAGATTTATGACTACAGTGTTGTGTACCGGTCTAGCCTGATCTCTGTTTTTAAAAAAATGCTGTTTTTGTCTTCCATAGATTTATGACTACAGTGTTGTGTACCGGTCTAGCCTGATCTCTGTTTTTAAAAAAATGCTGTTTTTGTCTTCCATAGATTTATGACTACACTGTTGTGTACCGGTCTAGCCTGATCTCTGTTTAAAAAAAAATGCTGTTTTTGTCTTCCATAGATTTATGACTACAGTGTTGTGTACCGGTCTAGCCTGATCTCTGTTAAAAAAACAACTAAAATGCTGTTTTTGTCTTCCATAGATTTATGACTACAGTGTTGTGTACCGGTCTAGCCTGATTGCTGTTTAAAAAAATGTTGTTTTTGTCTTCCATAGATTTACGACTACAGTGTTGTGTACCGGTCTAGCCTGATCTCTGTTAAAAAAAAATACTGTTTTTGTCTTCCATAGATTTATGACTACAGTGTTGTGTACCGGTCTAGCCTGATTGCTGTTTAAAAAAATGTTGTTTTTGTCTTCCATAGATTTACGACTACACTGTTGTGTACCGGTCTAGCCTGATTGCTGTGATGGCTCTGTTTGTGCTGGTGGGTCTGGTGCTCTACTTCACAAATCATGTCCTGCAGCCCATCCAGGCCAAACCCCTGAGGAAGTTCCTAAGGTAGCTACACCAAACTACACTCAACTAGTGCTGGTCTATTTGGATGAGGTGCTTAGATTTCCTACTGCTAGGAAATGTGTTTTGTACTGCTACCAGTGACAACAAATCTGCATCACTCTACCTGCATAGTTGCTAATCAAAAAACAGAATTACTTCCCTTGAGGTTGTGTGTGTGCAAATTGTTATTGGTATTTGCATTGGATGATCAGGCTTTGTATTTAAAAGATGTATTATATTAAAATGTATACTTATGTCATGATAAAAAAATGTAAGTAAAAAAAAAGCCTGTAATACTGAACTGGCCTTAGGCTGATCATGTTTTAATTCTAGCTCTAGTTGATGACTGTACATTCTCTTATTGTTTTAAATAATTTCTCTAAGATAGTTTGTAATTTTTTTTATTTTTTTTTTGTTTAAATAATAGCTTGATCCCCATATTTCCACTAATGGCTGAGGCTTGTCATGGGATTGTCATGGGATTGTCATGGGATTGTCTATTAAAAACGTCATTTAACGGGGGGGGGGGCTCTAACATGTTTTGTACTATTTTAAGAACATTTTGGTTGTATCAGATGTTAATCTAATTTCTATTGTGGGGGGGGGGGGGGGGAGAACTGGAACTTAGTGATGTTCTTTTTTATCTGTGGCCAGACCAGAGAGGAGGGGGGGGGGGGGGGGGGCCAAATTCAGCTGAAATTTTGCTGGGTAATTATGTTAACCAGTCTTCCATTAAGTGATAGGAACTGTACA